GGCTTGGAAGACCCACAACGATCGTTCCATTCTCCGTATCGAACGCAACCTTGTCAGCTCGGAAGAAAAGATCGGCGTTGAACATACAACCTCGGCCAAGATTTAGGATTGAAGAAGAGTTGTAACGGAACACCGGTTATATGGTTAGGGCGAAAGTGGATAGGAGCGTAGGATGTCGTAGGTATCATAATGGAAACCATATGTTTGTGAAATGTTGAGGGGCGTGTTTGATAGGAAGTATCGGGACATATGTTTTATTCCTTATAAAGCTTCAAACCTACGGGCTGATGGAGAGCTTGAGGTTATATACCCCAAAATGAATACAAGACGTTGATTAAATCACATGGTTCATATTTGCGACTAGTTGCGACTAGCTATTATGTGCATTTGTACATATTGGAGCTGGGTAAAATCTCAAGCTAGGTATAAGACATAGTTACCTGCCTAAGTAGGTATGTAGTTGACGTGAAAAGGTACATAGGTAAGTTCGCTTCTTATACTTTAGTAATTCTAAGGATTCTTGGCGTGTCATTTACTATCTAAAATCAATTGCCCAACCCTATTATTATTATTCTCACTTGTTCACCTTGTATCATTCTAGAGCAACGCGTAACTGTTGAAGAGTACGTCTCAACAACAATCGTACCAGCCAATAAAACGCCTTAAAAGTCACACTTACCTAAAAAGTGCAAACTGGAGGCAGCCTTGAAGCTTTCGTTGGAGCTAAGTCCCCTGCATCTCCGGTTCTTCAAAGATGAATAATACTTTTAGATGTATTAAAGACAATAGCGCTTTCTAGTATGCGTGCTTACACGATAGCGAGGCTTTAAACCTTCACTCTACATGCAGCATTAGTGTACAGATAAATTCTTTAGCGGATCTCTGCCGCTTTGGTAGGTAACAACTGCGGGGGTTCGATTCAACAAAAATATGTATGTAATGAAGGCTTGGCATAGCAGGGGGGCACTCTTTGAAGATGGACTAAACATGGACTAAACATCGAGGGCCAAGCGACGCACCACATCCCCCGAATCAGCCTCGCCCGTAGCCTGATCATTCCCAATCTCTCCCCATCTCGCCCTTCATGGTCTTTCTTTAACACCATCGGCGTTTTTATCGTAGTGCAGATGATTTCCAATATTTGAGGTGTTGCAACTTTTTTTTTGTTATATTTACAATTGCTGCCGAGAGCCTCCGTCGTTGTGTTACTTGTCCAATTGACATCCGATGGATCAGCCGGCGGCAAAGAAGAGAAGGCTGGCTCCTAAGATCGAGGCTCAAGCCAGTCCTCCGCATCCGCCTCCATTCCCCCACGAGCCTGTAGGTATAATTCAATTGATGTACCCATCAACTCGTGGACTCACATCAATAGGCGCCGCCCGCACAGCTTTACCAGGCCCAAGAAGCGCCCCCACCGCCCCCAGAAAGACATGAGTTCGAGTCATTCGCGAGGCATCTGCAAGATGCCGCCATGCTTATATATCGTCAAACCCAAAAATCACCATATACAAAGACCTCTGTCCTTATCCTACGTTGGGAAGAAGACAATGCCGTCGAACATGACCTTGCCGCCCTCGATCAAATCCTCTGCGATCGGTATAATTACCGCACCGAGCGTTTCAACATACCTACGGTTTTAAATCCCAGTGTTAAACTCGGCGTTCGTATGGCATCGTTTCTTGAAAATGCGGCACCCGACCATCTATTAATAATATACTACGCTGGACACGGCTATGTTGACACGGATAATCAACTCTACTGGGCAAGGTAGGTAACTACACGGTAGCATGGAAGGCGCTCTAACATGTGATCAGTAATCCGGAGGGGGGTTCGAAACTAAGATGGAGCGGAATTCGTTGTCTCTTCGAAGATGTTCAGTCCGATATACTACTACTCCTTGATTCTTGTGCCACTAAAGAAGAGCCGGTTTCAGAGGGTAGCAGTGTCAAACAGATCATTGCAGCTAACTCACCCGAGCATTATTCCCGAGATCACGGCGTACGGTCGTTCACGTCCTATGTTATAGAAGCATTAGCTAAATTTAGTGGCGGGCGACCTTTTACTTCCGAGAGTCTATATCACGAAGTAGCTATTCAGAGACAGCAAGAACTAATACTCGCGTCTGGGTTAACTAATGGAGCTAGCAAAAGCATAGCGCTCACTGAAAAGTTGCCAGTTCTATACTCTCTAAGTTCTATCAAAGGTCAAGTTATCTCTATATCTCCCCTCCCTTCTCGTGCCGAAATACAATTACGATCCCCGCAAGCTGGAATTGACGGAGATGCCCAACTGTTGAGAACGTCCCGGGAAGATCCAATCATCCACCCAAGCGCGGTTGCCGACTTGACGTTCGATGAGCCGAGAGTATTAGTTTGTACGACTTTTGTCGGCGAAGCCAGTCCGGACATGTCTTCGTTCAACCACTGGCTTCACAATGCCCCTGCTATTGCTTCGAAAATTGCTGTTGAGGGCATGTTTCTAGGGCCGCCTACGATGCTACTCATTTCAATGCCGGTTCCTGTCTGGAATGTTGTCCAGCACGATAAAGTCTGCTGCTTCTTAGGATATGTGAATTCCCATAATATGACACATCTTTACCATCGATTAGTCGGTTCCGTTTCTGTCAATAAGGCATCGGCGAAGGACGTGGAAGACGGCCGGATGCTCCTCGAAGCCCGAGAAGTGGCTGCGAGTACGCCGGTCGTCCGCCGGCATGAACTTCCTAGTCATTCTCAGCTAAGACCGGAGACACCCGTTCGTCTGGAGAGCATGGGCAGGCTTGATCCTATGACTCTACCTCAACCATCCGGTACTCCTAGTATGACGTATGCTAACTCGAGGCCGGGCACCGCCATACCCAAAAATGATGTCGAAGATTCAGCTGAGATGCAGGAAGCTGCTGAGCAGTTGAAGGCTCTGAGCCATGTTCGGCCCTTAAGCAGCGATAATATACCTGCAGCTCATGTACAAGCTACGCCTACAGAAAACACGACAACCGCCCGCCGTGACGAAGTTTCACCCCACGAGGCAAATGAATCTGGTGCAGACGAGACTCCGTACAATCCCGAATTCACACCGCCATCCGCACGACCTAAACAGCAGCGGCGATCGCTTCAAAAGCAAGCACCAAAGCAGGAAACACGCTGTAATCACTGCAGCCATGCCCCCTTTAAAGATTATTCATCACTACGGAAGCACATTGCTGCCGCTCATACTCGACCGTTCCCTTGTGCCTTTGCCTTCGCTGGTTGTACTAGCACTTTTGGGTCTAAGAATGAATGGAAACGACATATTGCTTCGCAACACTTGTGTCTCCAATATTACCGATGCTCATCTTGCCCACAGAGCACAGTTGAAGGCAAGGGGAATGAGTTCAACCGCAAGGATCTCTTTACACAACACCTTCGTCGCATGCACGCCCCTTTCGCAATCAAAAAGGCCCTGGCGAAGGGTGATAGTAAATTACAACTAGATTGGGAAACGCACGTGAAAGAGATGCAGCAAACATGTCTCGTGACTCGGAGACAACCCCCACAGAGATCTTCTTGCCCCAAGTCGGACTGTGCAAGTGTTTTCGAGGGGCCTACTTCTTGGGATGAATGGACTGAGCACGTCGGTAGGCATATGGAGAAGGGTGAAGCGGGACGACTCGGTGTTGATCGCCTTTTAGCAAAATGGGCCTTGGAAGAAGGTATTATTGAACGCCGGGATGACGGTGAATATCGGTTGTGTAGCGGATCTAACAACAACCCCGAACGAGAATCCGCCGGCAACAATCTCGAATACCAGTCTGACGGAAGCAAAAGAGACAGGGACAAGGACAAAGACAGAGACAGAGATCGAGATCGTGACCAGGAACAGGATAGAGACCAAGAAGACCGCACTATAATAGCAGCGAGTACGATGGTGGACAAAATGGACGTGGACGAATAACGCTGAGCTATATATTATACAGAATGCCACCCAAAGCGAAGCATTCGGAGGGAACTTTCTATTTTTTTTTTCGGGGGAATAGGGATCGGGTGAAAATTACGTGCCTCGCGAGGTCTAACGGGGGCGGGCTTACGAATTTCTTTTGCTCATTTTACTGGGTATATCCCAACTAGATGTGGCACGATCACCTGACGTTTCTATTTTGTTCAGCGCAGACTACAGGGACGACTGTACGACTATATACCACTTTCGAGCATGCTCTTGCGAATGTCCATCGGGTCGGTTGTTTGAGATAGACATTAGGAAGGGGAGGGAGGCCTGCATAATTTGGTTCGGTGTATTTTTTTTTTATCTGGGTCACTTTGAGCGTTGCGCAGTTTAGCACGCATCTGGCGATCATCCTACGGCTCCGGATTGACTTGGGAGTCGGGTGTTTATATTTAACATATATTTAACATGACACAAATTCGATTTTGGTCGTTCTTGTAGATTAACTTCGGCATCATAATTCGTTTTAGGAATCTTTTTAGAATAGCTGCTGTGTTATCATAGCCGTCTCGAATGGTGGTGACTGGTTTTTCCATGTTAGCATCACTATAAGGGTAGGTAATACATGATATGTTTATAAGTATAAGCGATACGCAGGCATTATTACGAAGACAACTGGTCCTCTTGGCGACTGACTTTTCAACATTATACCTTTCTAACATCGAACGAATAGATTAGGTGTGAGGTGTGTATAGGTATACCATTAGGACACCGTTCCCTATTATGCAGTCACGCCTCATACTTACATTTGGGCATTTACTTCGTATAACCTCGGGTTACTCGGCGAAATTACATGCTGGCTAGGTTCTTTTGCTGTTCATAGTCTTGCGGAGACAAGCCCAACTCGGTGTTGTTCCCCACACGGTCATCTTACGAAGTAGATAGGGGGGCTTACACTCATAGGGCAGACTGGGTTCTAGCTCGTGCTCTCATTGGTACGTTAAAGCAAACTAGTATGGAGCCCCTGCGGGGGAGCTCTTAGTAGCTCGGTGCGGAGATGAGAAGCTGCGGAGAGCAGAGCTTGACCATGCTTATTTGCTTTCAGTTTCTTGTCCTTTACCAAAAGGTCCGGGGAAGCTCCGCGAAAGCGCCGCCGTCAAAGGAAACAAGAGCCTCCGACTCGATTTCACTCCGACCTGATATGCAAACAAATGCCAAGAGAGCTGCTTGGCCCGCCTTATAAGACATCACGTGGACCGAAGGAGCGCCGAAGCCGGTATTGACGTCCTCCACTGCTATTGTATCTGATGTTCTTTGTTAATTATGGCCTTACGTACAAGCCTTAATTAAGCCTTATACCGCTAGACTATGACTATTCTTGCTTAAGAGCCATAATGACATGGGACGTGATCAAAATGGTTCGAGCGGAGTAGCGGTGGGAATATTGGGGTATATGCGGGGGGCAGAGCTTGGTTGATCACGATCCTACCTTATCACCATGGGACGACTAGACCAGGCATTGTAAATACGGGTGTATATATAAGTTCCAGAGTAACACCACAGCACACAGAAAAGATGATCCTCTGCGTCGGGTTACAACTTCCACGTGGAGATTGGCATTTTAAGACAACCTCCCAGCCTAGTACCTGGTATATTCGACCAGAATGGCAAGCCTTCTGTCGCTTATTACGGTGGCGACGGCCGTCTCAGCTGCCGCTATCGTACGACGAGACTATCCGACTGACGGCCCTCTTACTTCCTGCCCAGGGTATACCGCTTCGAATGTTGTTAGCACGGCGTCGGGATTGACGGCGGATTTAAAGCTGGCCGGCGAGGCATGCAATGTGTACGGGACGGATCTAAATGACTTGACTCTCGAGGTCTCATATGACACCGGTACGATGAGCTATTATAAACGCTAATATACGAGCGTCTCACTAACGTCGCGTAGAGACGAGACTCCACGTCAAGATCCAAGATGCTGCTAATAACGTCTATCAAATTCCCGAGTCCGTTTTCCCTCGGCCAGAAGCCAAGGGCTCCGAAGAAGCGCTGTCGGCATTGAAGTTCGACTACACAGAAAGCCCATTCTCCTTCTCCGTGTCTCGCTCGGACTCGGGCGAGGTCCTCTTTGACACATCGGCTGCCAACATAGTGTTCGAGTCGCAGTACCTGCGTCTAAGAACAAAGTTACCCGAAAACCCGAGTCTGTATGGCCTCGGCGAGCATTCAGACCCTTTTATGCTGAACACGACTGACTATATCCGCACATTTTGGTCACAGGATTCATTCGGCGTTCCCGAAGGCGCGAATCTATACGGGAACCATCCCGTGTATTACGAGCATCGAGAATCGGGTACTCATGGCGTGTTCTTCTTGAACTCCAACGGTATGGATATTTTAATTAATAACACAGCTGAATCCGGACAGTATCTTGAATACAACACCCTTGGTGGAGTGTTGGACTTCTATTTCGTCTCAGGCCCGAGCCCGGTCCAAGTTGCGCAGCAGTATGCTGAAATCGTGGGCCGACCCGTGATGCAGCCGTACTGGGGACTCGGGTTCCAGAACTGCCGATACGGATATCAGGACATTTTCGAAGTGGCCGAGGTAGTCTACAATTACAGCCAAGCCGGCATCCCGCTCGAGACTATGTGGAATGATATCGACTACATGTACCGTCGAAGAGTGAGCTTATATTGCTGTCTACGAATATTGCTTGTTAAACTAATAGTCATTAGGTATTCTCCTTGGACCCGGAAAGATACCCTCTGCACATGACACGCGAATTAGTTGACTACCTACACGCGCATGACCAACATTATGTCGTTATGGTGGATCCCGCCGTGGCCTACCAGGACTTCCCAACTGCTTTCCAACGCGGTGTTGAAGATAACATATTTATGCTTCGCGAGAACGGAACCGTGTGGAAGGGCGTTGTCTGGCCCGGAGTTACGGCCTTCCCTGACTGGTTCTCTCCTAATATTTCCAAGTATTGGAACAACGAGTTTTCTCTCTTCTTCTCTCCTGAGAACGGAGTAGATATCGATGCCCTCTGGATTGATATGAACGAACCTTCCAACTTCCCCTGCTTCTTCCCTTGTGATAACCCTGACGCTTCTGCTGTGGGATACCCGCCCGACCCACCTCCTGTCCGAACTCCTCCTCGGCCTTTACCCGGCTTTTCTTGCGACTTCCAGCCCGAAGGGACTGGCTGTAACAAGACTGAAGTAAATTCCCTGGAAATCCGTGATGGTACGCCCCCAGCACACTTCGACAGCCTCTTTCTCTCGCCGGTACAGACAGAGGGTAAGCAACTTGGACTACCAGACCGTGATCTTCTCTTCCCGAAGTACGCGATCCACAACAAGGCCGCGAACACCGATAGCGCGAATGCAGCTGAGGGTGGTATCTCCAACAAGACGGTTAACACTGATCTGGTTCACCAGAATGGCCTAACCATGTACGACACGCATAATTTGTATGGCACCATGATGTCTATTGCATCTCACGAGGCTATGCTCCACCGACGTCCTACCGTGAGGCCCATGATCATCACCCGCTCGACGTTTGCCGGGGCCGGCACTAAAGTCGGGCACTGGCTAGGAGACAACGTATCAACGTGGCACCATTATCGACTCGCTATTAGGAGCATGATGGCCTTCGCTTCTGTGTATCAGATCCCAATGGTAGGCGCCGATACATGCGGATTCGACGGCAACACCACCGAGCAGCTCTGTTCGCGCTGGGCCGCTCTCGGCGCATTCGCACCATTCTTCCGTGTACACAACGGCCTCGAAGCCATTTCCCAAGAGCTATACCGCTGGGAGACCACAACGCAGGCTGCGCGCAAGTTCATCGATATCCGCTATCGCCTGCTCGACTACATGTACACGGCGCTGCATGTTCAGACCCTTGATGGTACACCCATGGTCAACCCGCTATTCTTCCTCTACCCGCAAGACAAGAACACATATCCAATCGACCTCCAGTACTTCCTCGGCCCGGGCCTACTTGTCGCTCCCGTGACCGAGGAGAATAGCACTAGCGTTGATGTGTACCTCCCCGACGATATCTTTTACGATTTCTTCACGCACGAGCGCATCGTGGGCGAGGGAAAGGCCATTACCGTCACGGACCAGGAGTGGTCAGATCTACCGCTATACCTGCGCGGCGGCGTAATCATTCCCTTGCGCACCGAGTCCGCCATGACGACCGCCGAGGTACGCACCAAGCCCTTCGAGATCCTAGTCCCTATAGGCAAGGACGGCAAGGCAAGCGGCCGCTTATACCTCGACGACGGCGTAAGTATCGAGCAGCCCACCACGAGCGATATCTCGTTCGAGTACGCAGACGGCGTGCTGACCGTCAACGGCACGTTTGGGTACAAGCCGGACGAGCTGAGAATAAGCAAAGTTACGTTCTTGGGAATTGGAGGTGGGGATTCTGGTACTGGCAAGCGCAAGAAGCGCGCTGCGAAGGACGTGGTTACGGTGGATGTCGATAGGACGCTTAAGGAGGCGTTTACTGTTGAGGTTGAGGAAGCTTAAATAAAATACCTGGCAAAAGGAAAACGGGGGGATGAAAATATATTAGGAAATACGTACAAAGTCTACTTATTTTTAATGTATAAATAAAAATACATCGTTTAACTAACTCTGCTCATATTTTTGTCCGTGACAAATGAAGGGGGTGAAAAAAGCTAGCCCTAGGTTCGAATCCCCTCGGGATAGGGGCAGGGGATTCGAACGCAAGATAGATATCTCGTTGCCCACCTAAGTATTAGCTAGCTACGAGATCATCATGACTTGTAACATCCTTGCCCAACATTCTACTCTCCATTCCGATTCTGACAGTGATAGGTATCAGTAGAGCCCTAATTAACCCGTAACATATTATGTAGGCCGCTCTTAAGTACCGAGGATAAAGGACCCTCGGAATGCCTCCCGAGATTTACGTATTAAATATACCCGCTTGAATGGCGGTGTCTCGGTCGCTGAAACCGGACTAGACGAGACCGGACCGTCGGTGCTCCATGCTGCAATCAGAAAATTTACTCCCCCACGGGGTGTCGCGTGCGATATTCCTGGGGAAGCCCTGCTTCGACACCGAGGCTGGTAGTACGTGGTCGCATGACCTCCTGCCCACCGAGCATGTTTGCGGGTTTCTGGTTATATACGGGAGTCTAGAACGGGCTTGGATATGGGTCGTCGGAAATATCGTAGGAAGAGGCCGGGTAGTAGGATAGGATAGGGGGATAGAGATGGAAACAGATCGTGTGAGTAATAGGGAGGTAGGTTTATAAGGAAGGTAGAGATAAAGTACCTAACCTATATAAGATATAAGATAAAATAAAATTGCATAGATATATTAGCAAAGGAGAGAATAGGTACCTAGGTAAGGTAATCTAGGCCGTAGACTTAACAGAATATTACAACCGAAAGGGAGTCATGAGTGAAACGAAGTCGTACTACATCTTAGAAATTCAGACAGAGAGATGGTACTAATATATCTTTATCTTTTTATCTTTTCTTCACCGACCCATAAAATTTTACTGTCACGACGACACCATACGGCAATCCAACCGGTGGATATGATTGGATCCAGTGTCGCCCATGTGTGGTGTGTGGTTGACAAACAAACTTGACGGCTGTTTTCTGCAAGTGCCCTACTCGAACTCTTCCTCTTAAATAGGCCAAACAGTCTAAAGAGCACTCGAGTGTCACATTACAAAAAAATACACTGTCAAACTTTTCTATTTTCCACCACATCTTTCAAATCCGCTTTTTTTTTCTAAAAAAAAAAATCCAATTTTCAAACATTCGTCCCTCGTTTTTCCACGTTGTACCCTTACCTAACTTCAGCACCCACAATTCCGGCACCATGGCGGTAGACGATCCCTTGGATATATCCAATGGCACCTGCTATTACGCCGTCAACACGGAAGCCAATAAGGATTATATCCCTTGCGGTAATGTCGACGTCGGTTTAGACTGGCACTGCTGCGTTGCTGGCGATATCTGCCTGGAGGACAGTGCATGCTACCATAAGAACTGTAAGTAGTAGTCTCAGCCTACCTACATAGGTAGATCCTCTGAAAGATTAAAAGGCCTATTGTTCTAACAAAAATACTAGATGGTATCACCTACCTAGCCGGCTGCACCGACCAAAAATACGGTGCGCCCAGTTGTCCGTACAAGGGAAAGTACGGCAGCCAGCAGTGGACGGGATTACAGCGCTGTGATGACAATCCTGATCTTGACGACGGCGACGATATATGGGCGGCGTGCAAAGAAACTGGCGACGTACCAGGCTCGAAGCCGCCTGCTCGTTGCACATGCTTCAGCGACACTCAAGTCATCTCTGACAAGCCGAAGCTCGACAATGTCGCGCTACTTCCGACGAGCCTGGGCGGACCTATCTCCTGGTACGATGGCAAGAAGCCATCTATAGATCCAAATCCGGTGACCACCACAATAACGGTGCCCAAGTCTGTGAAGACTGTGACATCATCAGTGACATTGACGTCTTCAACATCATCCATCACATCATCCATCACATCGTCCTCAGACTCATCAAGCGACTCATCAAGCACCCCTACGCCGGTAGACTTAGGACCAGGCGACGCCAGCCCCGTCACACCTCCCACCGACGCACCCAACGCATCTACAAACACCAGCACAGGCCCGACCCTCTCCACAGCAGCACAAGCCGGCATCGGCGTCGGCGCGGGTGTCGGCGCCCTATTGATCGGGTGTCTCATATACCTAGCGCTCCTACTCCGCAAGCGCCGCAAAGCGAAGACTCACAGCTCCAGTCTCGACTCCAAATCCACGGCACGACAGGATCTCCCCAGCACCGACAACCCGCCGAGCTCCCTCGCAGCAGCAGCACCGCCGTTCCCAACTAACGGCCAGACGCACCCCAGCTTCCAGTCGGAGCTCGCGGCCGACGAGCCCAAGAGCGCAGTCACCACTACCACCACCACCACAACGCCACCTGCCCCGTACTCCCCCTCCGCAGCCTCGATCCCGTTCTCGCCCACCGCGGCCTCCTTCTCCTCCCAGCAGAAGCAGTACACGGCGTACAACCCGACGCTGCACGGGAACTACGCCGAGAAGCGCGAGGCGGGGGGCCAGATGCCCGTTTCGCCGATGAGTCCGGAGCCGCAGGCGAGTCCCGCGAAGGAGGAGGAAGTGCCTGTGGTGCATATTCACGAGTTGGAGGGTTAAGAGGGGGGTTTTAGGAAGGGAATGAATGAGTGTAATAAAGGAGGGAAGGGAAGGGAGAAGCGAAAACTACCGAAGCGTTATCTGGAGTTAGGGGTTGTGTGATACTAAAAAAAAAACCAAAAAAAAAAACAAAGGAAATATGATTGGCTCCGTTTAAGCAAGCGTTTATTGCATCGGCTCGGTATTGAGGGCGTGTACCTTAGGACGGACAGACGGCGTAGTTGTCGTTGGAGGGTGAGGGTGAGGGTGACAATGGATGATACGATGGATGATGCAATGCAATTGACGATTAGCCGACGAGTTTAATGTGGTTTAATTACCTAACCTATATACCTATCCTGTTTAAATGAATGAGCGCAAAGTTTATGCGTATATGCGTATATGCCCTCAGTCATCATCAAGTTCGAACCTCCTCGTGTCGTTGACTTACATCCAATGCCGTATACCTATACGTTGATAATAGAGGAAGTCTTATTGCGGTCTTTATATCCATACCTTACGTAGGTAGGTCCGATATCTCCCGCCATGGATTTTAATTGCTCAAGTAAATTAGTTGATATACTAACTGATATAACCATTCATTAATCGCCGATAGATCTACCTTTTGACTATCTCCTCGCCTATACTGTTTCATCCCATAAGACGTCATTTTATATATCACTATACAACTAGATATTATAAACTTAGTTAGTTATGGAGGGTAACACAGAAGCACGCTTTTCCACCCTTCATCGACGGGAGGTATTCTACGTGGGCGGCCAATACGTACTAGACGCCGCCGGAAACCATACGCGGCAAGGGCAAATGTACGTCGAAAGACTTATTCCCGCAGAGTCAGATAATACTCCAGACAGACCTTTCCCTATCATTTTCATCCACGGCGCAACAAGATCCGGCGCGGTAAGATTATCTCGACTTCAACCTTCTTAATCATCTTGTTCAGTCGTACCATACATACATAGTATACGCTAACATTAGCCAGGACTGGCTCACAAAACCCGACGGCCAGCCGGGCTGGGCCTCGTACTTCTTATCCCGAGGCTTCGAGTGCTACCTCGTCGACCTACCCTTCTGCGGCAGGAGCCCCTGGCACCCCAGCAACGGAACCATGATCGCCCACCCAGCCGAGGCCATCCAGACCATGTTCACAGCATGCAAGGACCTCGGGAAGTGGCCCCAAGCCAAGCTTCACACCCAATGGCCCGGCACCGGCCGAATCGGCGATCCCGTCTTCGACCAGTTCTTCGCGTCGGCGCAGCAGGTCCTCAGCGATCCCGCGGCGCGGGAAAAGGCTTCGCAAGAAGCCTGCGCCGCGCTCCTGGACCGTATCGGCAGACCTGCGATTCTCATCGCACACTCGGCCGGGGGCGCGACCCCGTGGCTAGTCGCGGACGTCCGGCCGGCCGCGGTCAGGATGGTCGTCGCGCTCGAGCCCGCGGGCCCGCCGTTCTACAAGGTCGGCATGACGAATTCCGGGCCCAGCGCGCCTTACGGCATCGCCAACGCGCCGCTGACGTACGCGCCGCCCGTCGCCGATCCAGATGCCGATTTCGCCAAGGTGCTTGTGCCGGCGCCGGGTTTGGAGATGATGGATTGCGTGGCGCAGGCAGAGGGGGAGAGAGAGGGGGGGGCGGGACCGAGGCAGTTGGTTAATCTGGCGCGCGTGAGGGTGCTCGTTGTCACGGCGCAGGCGTCGTATCATGCGCAGTACGACTGGGGGATCGTGCGGTACTTGCGGCAGGCGGGGGTTAGGGGGACGGAGCATCTCAGGCTGGAGGAGAGGGGGGTTTGTGGGAATGGCCATATGATGTTTTTGGAGAGGAATAGCGATGCGGTGGCTGCGGAGGTGGTGAGGTGGATTGAGAAGGATTAGGTAGTGGTGTAAAGGGCGTCGGTGTTGGTGTTTTTTACCCAAGATTTGTATTACGCGGTGTGAGTTGTACATTCGATGGGCTCGGAGAGAAAGGGGGGTGTGAAAACATATATTTATGTGGAAGACGACCCAAATATTCATATCCTACTTGTCAAAGCTCTCTGAGGCGTTTGAAGTGTCCCGGTCGGGATATATTGAAGTGGTCGGGCGTCGCGAGACTCTTTCCTCAGATGTTCATGATAATCTATATCGACTGAGGTGATTTCCCTGTAAGTAGAGACATCGTTTGCCCGCCCGGGCTGAGAAAGGTGCATCTTGCATACCCAAGACCTTAACCCCGTCCACGAACTTTTAGGTATCTGCGGCAGCTGCTCAGTTTGTATCATTATCTCAGGATCACTAGGATTATGTGCAAATTCCTTATAATTGTGCCCCCGATAAGTCGAAATGAGCTTGAGTAAGGAATTCCGCAAGGTCGTTCGAGTCAATCTGCGGAACGGGACGAATACTATCGGCATACAGCTACAGGAAATTCCTACGTTGAGCTCAGCCGCTCTGGAGAAATAGTGTTAGCTCGCCTAGAGGAATGCAAAGAACAAAACGCCAGTGATGGTCGTCGTAACGCTTACGCGAACGCAGATATCAAGTGCCCAAGCCAAGTGACATCAAGAGATCGTGTCGCCTTCACGCGATACACCGCGCAAAGGAGAGAAAAGGTACAAGCTCTACGAAAACGTTAGGATTGGGCGCGTAACTTTTAGAAATAGGAAAGCCCACATTAAGCCTGTGAGGAAAATACAACACACGCCAATTTTCCGTTTCGATGGGAGTCGGATTTTAAGCGTAAGCGCCACGGGTATCACAAGTAAATGCAAATCCGTGGCAGTGCTAAATATACTCGTGGTAACCCAGAGAGGTTCCTGCGGTACTGAACAATTGACTTCGGCATCAGTGTTGAACATCTGCGCTGTTGGAGTGTATCCGTCGCAGGTGACCTGGATTATAACGACGACGATCAAATAAAAGAGTATCACTACAGTTAGCGTTGCCCAAATAACGATCCTGGCTCCCTTAACCGGGTTGAAAATGCGAAGATAAAATGCCAGAAGTGTCGCTTTGATGAAGACCGCGGCAGTCGAATAAACGTAGCTTGGTGCGAAGCTATACTATCATTAAAATTAGTCAATAGGTAGAGACCACAACTGCCTTCTAGTGCTTGGAAGGGATATTTAATACTTTCAAAACAAACTTCTGATGAAATTCAGACACCGGTATATCCCACTGGTGGCGGCCCATCATATTATCAAAGGCTATTTATTACTTATAGTAAGCCTCTAAAGCGTATGGCTATAGATATACCGGTTGTCACGAACCCTTAAGTATGAGGGCACAGTAACACGTGGTACCTATCTAAAATACCATTAGTTTCTTCTAATTGGTTATGTACCCAGGCATTACTAACCGCTGAGATGAGGCAGAGATCTTATAGCTACCGTATTAGCATGTTCCTCTACCGGGTATAATAGGGGGAGAACTCGCAGTCTTCTATCCCAAAGTTGCACGTTACCCACGCTCGAGTATAAACTCGCAAAGTTACAAAGCAGTACATAATTGCTAGCGTCAAGCCTGTGAGTATTCTGGAAGTCGGAGCCATCGTCGGCGGGTCGATAAAGTTGGGCGTCACCCCCGGCGGAGGCGCCAAGCTGGGTATTTGCGAATAGTCAAGGCTGGGCATATTCGTTCCATTGATGATTTCATATGCATGCAGTAGATGGAAATATACCAAGGGATACCGAAAGCTTTATGGTACCTTGGAAAGTTGGGGGCGGAATGTGTAACCTTGCTGCCTAGGTACTGCTCCCGGTGACATGTAGGTATTCGGATAATTTAACGGTTGCCATTGCTGACGGCTCGCGTGTTCTGAGACATGCAATGAGGGTAACGTAATACCACAAACGGGGCTTTTGGCGTTATACGACGTATCCATAAGGCATACGATAGGAAGATCAGAGTAGGATGCAGCAGCGGCTGGAATTTTATGCTTATACGCGCATCTTTCTCTAGAGACCCGAATCTCACTGAAATGAGCAAGACCTATGTGGTCCCAAGAAGGGAGGTTGTTTCTAAGATATCTTGGCTCTGGAAAACGGCGAGACGCGACGAAGGGCCATAAATTATCCGAAATTCCGCATGGTACACGTCTTTAATCCGCTCATATACATACTGGTGCGGCCTCTATAAATCACATGTTGAGAAGACGCTCGAATAAAAATAGCAACACGAGAAGGCGTTAGAAATTCTTCCTCTCAAGAGCACTACCTAGCTGGATAACTGCCAAGAGGTCAGTGTATCCTCCATGGTTTTTATCATAGATCTACGATACGGAGCTGAAAGCATTAGGTCGGCGATCCATGCAAACGTGGCTTCGGTGAGTGCAGTGACTTTAGGAATTCGGTGAGTGAAAGTAATTTCAACCTCAAAGATGTCCGGGGAGAAACCCGATGGCTTGCGCTTACGTCTTATGTAGTGGTCCAGGATACGACTATAAGTTTCTGCAGAGATCAAATATAAAGGAGCCTATTAGCCCTATATGATAAATCTAAATTTATTAGTCGTTCTACACAACCTCGTACAGCATTCACCGTTCCACGATGTAGTGTCTTGCGGTTGGGAGTTGAAGCGTTACGTACAATGTTTTCTGAGCCTCCAGCTGCCCCTATGTATCAAAACTCCCCAAGATGTATTGTACCTTAGGTACGTAGAGGTATGCAATTTATTTTGTTATTAGTAAGCACCAAAGGTGGTAACTCCTTTCAATTCCGTTATCAGATTCGGCTTTATGTCTTTGTCTTATGCACCTATCAGAAGCCCTATCTTTTCCAGCAAAGGGCGCATTTGATTCTATCATCCAGCATTCCATTCGGTCTTCCGTATCATTATGTACTTGGATCTATCATGCCGTACATCCGAATACTTAATACTAACATGGTAATCCGTCTCTAAGCTTTCGCCGCCAAGGACTTTTGCTTTGGTACTAAAAAGAAATTTAGAAAAAAAAAGGTGCCATCACGTCTACCATGTCTGCATGTCTGCCATGTCTACCCGAGGAACAGGGGTATAACACTGCGACCCTGGGTAAGTAGGATGTAAGTCTATACGGCGAACCACTAATACCATCCTAAAACTATCAGCAGCACTATTCGATCCATGGCCGTGGTATTACCCGGCCTTGTCTAGACTCTAGACGCAATGCGGATGGCGAGATGCGCCGAGATATAACCCACACGCCGCCAAACGTTTATATTCGCTGCGATTGCGTGATTGGTGCTAACTCTTTTCAATGATCGGCTACATGGTCGCAAACAGCGACACGAACTATGTACACAATCTGGCAATCCAATCGCCCTGCGGTTGGATCGATATCTACGTTGGTAATACTACGCTATGATAAATTAAAAACTTAATATATGGTGTGTTCCTCGCGATTCTCACATATCTTACCGCGTGACCCTCGTTGGTGCGTCGAGTCAGCACGCCGTCAAGTTAAAAGGGAAGTCTGGAGCTTTGCAACTAAAAGTTGTTTATAACCGCCAAGTACCCAAGTTTCTCCTTGGCGTTGATATATTCCAGGAACTCAAGCCGCCGAGATGTCTTCCCGCCTTTCGGGCGATGCCAAGGACAAAGCCAAGTTCTCTAGTGCGGCACCCGCAGCTGAGCCTCCAATTAACCAACGACTTCCTTCGACAGAGGATATAGTCAAGGATGGCAGCCCAAGCAAAGAAAAGCTTCCTGTCGAGGACGCCGTCGAGGTTGATGCTGATCTTGAGGACGAAAATGACCCCGAGATCAGCCAGATCCCTCCAGAGGTGAGGCGAGTCGTCAGTCTTCACGATGACACCACTTTGCCTACCTTAACATTTCGATATTTTCTTCTCTCCACCATCTTCGTGATTCCAGGGGCTTTTCTATCTGCCATGAATAGCTACCGAACCACGTATGCGCCCTACTCAGTTTTCTTCGTCCAGATCGCCTCTAATTATGTCGGCCTCTGGCTCGCCCGCGTGCTTCCCAACCGCCAATTCCGCATTCCCTTCACCCGTTGGTCTTTCAACATGAACCCAGGTCCATGGTCGGTCAAGGAGCATGTCTTAATCACTTTAACGGCAGCCTCTGGTGCGACGGGCAATGGAGGCACTACGCCTATCGCGCTTGGCGACCTCTACTTTAACGAACGGCTTCACCCCGCAGCGGCCATCTTTTTCATGTGGTCCATCGATGCTACCGGGTACGCCTTCGCTGCTCTCGCGCGTCAAGTTCTACTATACGAACCGGCTTACCCTTGGTTCCAGGCCCTTTGCCAAGCTGCGCTTTTCGAAACCCAGAGTCGACAGAACAAGAATCCGACTCCGACCGCGCGCAAGCAGATGCGCGTGTTCTGGTGGGTGCTTCTCGGTATCACGCTCTGGCAGTTCTTGCCAGAATACGCATTCCCAATGTTGAACTCGATGGCCTTTTTGTGCTGGGTTGCTCCTCACAATCCCGTTGCCAATTTTATCGGATCTGGTCTTGGCGGAATGGGATTCCTCAATTTATCCTTTGATTGGGCTAACATCGTGAGTCTTCTTGACGAAACCCCAATAAGTTATGAATGAAATCATAATTAACTAAACTAATTTGAAAGTCCAACTATCTCGCCGGTGTTCCGCTATTTTTGAGTCCTTGGTGGTCGCAAGTCGTACTTTTCTGTTCGTTCGTTATGTCGTGTTGGGTGTTACTGCCCGCCGCAAAATGGGGGCACCTTGGAAGTTATCCTCACTGCTTGATGACGAACCGAGCTTGTACTGCTGATGGGAGCAGATATCCCGTCACCGACCTAGTCACGCCGCAAAATACCTTCAACCAGACGGCTTACGAAGAAAACGGCCCGTTGTACCTTGGCGTTCATTACCTATGGTCCATCTTCTTTGATTACGCCTCGTACGCTTCGGCTTACTCTTGGATCGTGTTCTTTGGGGCCGGCCAAATCAGAGACGGGTACAGGAAATTCCGCGCCCGCCAGAAAAACCCGGGCCAAGGAATCAATCATCAATGGTAGGTCTTAAGAACACCCGTCGTTAATATATTCATCGAAACTAATACGTTCGCAGTACGTTGATATACCTCGTTATATCACGAGCCTGCCTAACCTCCATACGTACTTCCTTCGGTACTAACGTAAGCAGATTCGGACAGATTGAACGTCTTGATGAGATCTTATAAAGAGGTACCCCTGTGGTGGTACATTACACTGTTCCTCGCCTCGTTTACATGCGTCATGACAATGGTTGGAATGAACATTCTATTCATCCCCTGGTGGACTTACTTGGTGGCACTTGCGACAGGGGCTGCTATTGTCGTGCCTCTCGGCTGGCTTTATGCCATTAGTAACTTCCAACTGCCCATCGGAACGTTCAATGAATTGCTATACGGCACCATGGTTCAAAACCTAAGCACTAATCGAAATCCTATCGGAGCTAGCGTAAGTCTGTCGTCCTGAAGATTGCTTCGTATGCTAATCTTCCTCATCAGGTGTATGGCGCTCTGGCTGGTGGCGGTATGATATCCTTATCCCATCGATTACCCGTTTCCGCTCGACTTCATCCTCGTAATGAATACTAACAATAATAATAGCCTGGTATAGGGCCCAGTATATGTTGCAAGATCAAAAAATAGGGCATTACATGCATGTCCCCCAACGTACGGTTTTCTTCTCGCAAATCTTCGGAATCACTATGGGTGTACCGATCAATTATGCAGCAATGCGCTGGATCCAGGATTCCAAGCGCGACTACCTAACTGGGGCCGTTGATGATCCAGCCCATATCTGGACAGGTCAAAGTTTAGCCAGCTCTTTGACTATGGGAGTTCAGTATGTTTTACTAGTAAGTTGCCTCGTTTTCTAGTCTCCAAGTACCTCCCATAAACGTTGGATACTAACGCCATTCAAAAGGGGCCAACTCGACTCTTCCAACAAGAACAGTTCCGTCCACTCCCCTATGCTTTCCTCGTCGGCGCGGCCTGTCCGGCCATCGTATACGCGCTCCACCGGCTATTCCCTCGCGCTAAATTCCACCTTTTCAACACCACCATCTTCTTCAGCGGCGCGTCCATCTTCTACGGCAACGTGTCGACGGGGTACTTCTCGCGTTTCATAGGAGGTTTCGTCGTTATGTTTTGGGCGTACAGGTACCGCTACCAACTATGGGCCAAGTACAACTTTATCCTCGCGGCTGCGTTCGACGCAGGGTTCAACCTGAACATGCTCTTGATCTTCTTAATCTTCGGCAGCGCAAAGGTTATCGGCATGCCGAATTGGTGGGGGAATGATGCGGCTAGCGTGGAGAAATGCTATGCGCTTGAGTAGAGTTGCTCTCCTGCTGGGTATCTTGTTTTAAAATATATATCGTATGGAAATACTAGTGCTAGATTTAAATTAAATTAAATAGGAGAAGATTATTCGAATAAAAGACTATTCAACCCGGTCACTATCTACCCAACGTTTCGTACGCTAAGACGATTGGAATTTTACTACTAAATAGATATCGGAGAGCCTTCAGCCGGACTAAGAATCTATGACAGCAAGGTCAATTGGTATATATCGCTTAGTCCCAACGAAAAATTTACTATCATATTTGGCATATCGCCTTGAGTCACCAATATATAGAAACACATTAATCATTTAGGTTGATCTTGCTCGGACAGACAACTAAAATACAGGATGATACTAAGGGACAGAGTTAAGTTGTAACCGGATAGTAGTCTTGTTTCCTGATAGCGTGTAAGAGCCTAGGAACTCGAGATGTTGGGATACTAGATAGGACGTATATACCAAAGGACACTTCCATAGTTAGGTACCTGATGTTAGAGTTCTTTGTGGAACAGTTGGAAGTCGCCTTATACTTTCTGGTTCCGTTTCGTGCTACGAGATGAAGGTTGGAGGTTTCAAATGTCGGTTTACTTCGCGGCAGTGGACGTTGAGCTAATTACGGGTTATATGGTACTAGCATGAAGGTAGTAAATTACAGTTTGTTCTATTGTCAAGCTATAAAAGAAAAAAGTCCGAGTGTGTGTTACTTAGTTCAGATGCTAGAGCTTACCGTTAAGTTAGCTTACCACGACGCCGTACAATCTACTAGAGGTAAAGCCTGTTTCTTAAGTAACGCCTCCATAATGACATCTGACGATTGAGTTATAAAAAGAGAGCTAAGTGAGTTCTATGCGACCTGGTACCCAATAACTTAGTTAACTTAGGTTTATAAACAGTATGGGACATGCTAATAATACACATTGCCTATGAGTTAATATTCGTAGTTGTTGAAGATAGAGATCTAGTACGGACACTGCAAGGCCAAAACAAAGGTACGTGTACTTAACTTCCGATGGATTTCAGCCTAGTATTATACCTCCCTACATAGATACAGCCTCGGAATGAGACAATCCATAATTAATACCAGTCTTATATATGTAAAGGATTGCTTTCCACCTTTCTAAGATAACACATATCTTATTAGGTTGTTTCTCAAATATATTTCCTACATGAGAAGAGCCTATTAAGACCAAGAAATACCGACGAAAATGGTATTGTCTTCGCTAATAATAGACACGTAGGGGTTGACATTAGGATAGAACACATGCACGCCGTAGGATTATATATAATACTAGCGTTCCATTTTTACCATGAAGGAAACAATGCTTGACGGAAATTTTTATACCTCTTAAGAATAAAAGAAACCAAGAACCGTCTGAAGAGCATGGGTAGCTCCACATGAATGTATAATCAGCACCTAACATACTCTATCATCACATTGTGGTAAAACTCTTAGGTGACAGGATTATTAAGACTACTTAGGAAGTTATATTAGTTAAGAATAACCTTACTTCTAGAGATTCCTCGTAGTATTTTACATAATAGTCTCTAGGTGTGTATGTTACGATACGCGCACGATTTTGGCATCGAAAAATGTCTTCGAAGGGAAAGAATAATATCTCCTTAACTCATCTGCTTCGGAAACTACCATAGGTATTCTGGACGAATGTGATAACTCAGAAACTGGGCATAAAACTACCGAGACCTTTCACAAAGGATATTCTACCACGTGATTAGTTTCGGCGACGAGCCATACAACGGACGGTACAACTTGAGTACTTTCGCGATGTCTCAAATCGCCGGGCTGTGCAAGTCGCTAAACATGAAAGTCAACATAGTACAAACGCAGGATGCAAATATAGTAATATTGTGGATAATTGCAGACTGTGGGATAAACCTATTTGGTCAACACTGGCGTGTTTTGGCCCACCAAGTATAGAGGAGGTTATTATAGGCAACCCGCTGAATATGTGCATTGAGTCTCCGTAGCTTTTATATCCATTCGCTGCACCAGCGGCGGCTACCCACTTAGTATAATACATAGAGGGGCTACCGACTTTAGAATCCATCGTCACATATGTACTGTACATAGAGGAGCCTGTTGGCGGTCAGTATACTCGAAAACTATTTATTCGGGCCAAACCATCACTTTTCTACCTAGGTGAGGAACCGGAGAGCTCTTTGAGCTATTCTTTACCCCTCTTCCATGAAACACTCTACTCTTTTCGAATTGCATCATTCTGTCTTACAAACAGTCTCCGAAAATGTATGACGTTAGTTAGTTCGAAGTCCGTGATTTTTAGACGGGATCGTTGATCTACCGGCGGAGGTGCGGGAGATTCCCGAGGAGTCTAATCTTCTCGTCTATCGGCCACCGTGGAGATGGCGTCACTTAGCATCTAACTAGTCATAATGTCTCTATATTGCTTTTCACGTAAGAGTCAAATGCGACATGTGGGAAGCGACTCGATTTCTGTTTGTGTGACTCAGAGGACCGCGAAGCGAAGATGCCTAAACAACACGATACCTACCTAACCCACCCACGCACTTGGTAAAGACGACATAAGCGAATACTCGGAGGCCGAATAATACTTTGGTCTCTAGACGTGACCCCTCAATTTATGGGAACGGACTCGAAGCGGCGTCGACGACAGAGGAGACATGAAGGATTGGAAGCTAGCGTGGCACCAGTCAATTGCGTCGCTAAAGATGCTAATGCAGCCCAGAATACCGTCAAGACTAAACGCGCAGAATGGAGCCGGTGCTGTAGAACTGCCCGATTTCATGGCGGAGGAAAACCGTGTTCGTATACCTGCGGAAGTTGATGCAAACGAAGGAAGGGAGCTTTTTCATCTCATCTCCATTTGCACCTCCACAGAAATTGTACGTGGCACGTAATGTTGAGCCTTACGTGGAAGAAGTTCAAAGCTGAGCGTTGCGGCTACAAAATAACGTTTCTTCATACGCTGGACCAACTTAAAAGAATATTTTCTAAGTTACACTACTTAACAAATGTGCGCCCAATGAAGAATGTGGGTTTAACATACTTAAGGTTAAGTACCTAACCTAAGATAGGCAGGTAGGTAATTGCTTGCGAACGTCCCTTTTTGGCAGTTTACATTGCGCAAAATGGGGCAGCGGACTTTTTAATCATGTATGCATGTGGCGCATATTTCCCTATCGGCAGTTTGAAGCTATTTTAGAGCAGAGGATTGGATGGTAAGTTGGAGTAGTCTTCTCTTAATACTAGTGGACAACTATGGAGAATAGGTCCCTATCGTTAAGATTGTGAGGGGACTTATATTATTGCACCGTTATCAATCCGTTCAATCTATGTAATCTCTAGGTAGTTACCTAATCTCTAATCTTGCAGCCCCGCGATGGGGGGCACTGGACGGAGAAAGACGATTAGATTCATGATAAGAAATTAAAGAAGGTCGAGTGTCGGATCTCGGAAAGCGTTATCTTGACGAACGGGTAGATCCTCTTTGACAAGACACTCGGACTCCAAATATGCTTGTCCGCTCTCTGCCGCTGCCACGGACGTTATTAGCACCATGAGTGGATGAGTGGAGGAGCCCGAAACATTAATAGACGAAATAATGGTTAGGGAACTAAACCACAACCGATATAATGCCCAGTTCAGTTAGCCATAACGCGATTGGCAAACGCCCAACTGTCAAACCTGTCAAACTCGAGTGATACAATTTGCGCGAACTTGAGTCAAATCAACATTGACTAAGACTGCGGCGGCAGTGCCGAGACTCTTGTTTGCAACCTGTCGCGGAAAGTCTAGAAGGTTACCCAATTCGTAGTACGGATTCGATGCGACTTGGGAAAATCATGGTTTATCCCGGACTTTCTCCTTGTGATGGTTGAACGGTTATACATAGACGTCGGTAATTTTGGGGGAGGTTGATCCTATCGCGACTTAGGGTTATCACATATCGATTTAGGTAATCTTATTTTTAAAGTATTAACGGGCTTATGCTGCGAAAAAGCAAAGCTGGTTACATCTATGTATGATGGCGGTTGCGGCTCGCAGTTGTGGCACGTGTGGACTAGAGCCTAGAGCGAGGATGCTGCATGTGCATGTGATGATGTGAGATGATCTTAAAAAAAGAAGCAAAAGGAACAACAACCATGTGGCCCAAGCTTTTTTTCCAACAGGGGACCTTGAAGTTGGGGGAGTTGTAGGTTCCGAAAATGGATGTGCATCCAACCCTCCAACCCTCCAACCCTCAGACCCTCCAACCCTCAGACCCTCCAACTCTTCTAACGCCTCCAACGCCTCCAACCGTGCATGAATCTCAATAATGAGATCATAATAATCCGTCCGTCGTATTAAGATTGTTGTTTACTTTCTGAGTATTTATTTATTTCCCTTTCTGGCCAATATCATCTCGTAGACCGTATATCTCTTACAACCTAAAAGACGCTTAATAAGGGGAAATGTGACGGGTCTCGGCAAGGTGATCAGTTCTAAAATTCTCCGACCCTAACTCGTAAGACAAAGCGGGAGAAAAAAAATTACAAAGAGGAAAAGGGGAAAATAGGAGAGGCTATGGATTGATGGTCCTATTGATGGCTGGCGCCGTGTCTGAACAATCCGACGATGCGGGCTGATAACTGGTGGGGGTTGTTTGAGGCTACGGCTACGGCGCCCGCAGCTGGGGGGGCTGCAGGTGGGCAGGGCGGGATGACTTTGGTACCTAGCACGGGTACCTTTGTAGGGTAGCATAGGGTCCCGGATCAGCGCGCGCATCAGTCAACAGGATATCCATGTGGTTATGCATTTTAGCTAGGTATGTATTTTCCCGTCCACAGATCAGCCAGTTAAATATGTATGTACGCTAGTATATATATCAAATGATTATTATTGCATGAGCTGGGACCTCATGTTAAACAATGGAATTTAAAAGCCAATACAGGGCGAACACGGGGGAGGCAGCCCACAGACTTCATGTGATTATTTCTAACGCATGTATGTATATTCACAAGTGCAGAAACCTTGAGTAACCTCAGAAGCAATATCGAAGAAGAAAAAACTTCATTATCTTAAAAGCTATTAATTAGAAAAGGGGAATGCATCTGCAGTTTTAATATGTAGAAATTCCCGAGGTCAAGAGAAGGCGGTCAGCAAACAATGAATACCTACCTACCTACATCCTCCTAGGCAGGCGCGTGTGAGGCAGGTGTTGAGAGTATCGCGGAAGGTATTGTACAAATACAAAAATAAGTACTTATAAGTACCAAGTATATAGTATCATCCCGGTGTGACGCACGGTCTTGATTGTGACAAGGATCAAGGACGTACCTGCTTAGTGGCGTACCTGCCTCCACACGCGCGTCACGAAATAAACAAAACGCGCTTTTCACGACCCCAACTACCCTTGTTTAGTTAGTCTCTATCCTTCCGCTGCACGATTTAGTGAACTCTACTTCGTAGGGAACGACAAGTACTGTACTTTCCACTTGGCGACTTCCATGCCGACCGCTCCTTTTCTAGTGGTGTAAATCTCCAGATCCAACCTCCCGTTAACTCCTCCCCCATCTCCATCTTTTTCGTCGCATTCGCCACAATCAACCAGTTGATCTGTCAGGAGTTGCGCGCGCATACCTGCATACTTACATACTTACCGTGGGACTCATCTACTGCCGCCGTCCTCTTTTACTCATCGACGCTTCTTCCATATCCAATAGCCTATCACCAATAGCTCAGTTCGACATTGCGCCGGACCAGACTGAATGGCGGTTTCCTGTCCTGCCTGTATACTTCGTGTGTGACTGCTGGGAGAACCGAGAACTGAGAATTTCGAGCTGAGAACCGAGAACATCATTCATTATCTGGCAAGAAATCGAGAAACGATATCAAGGGAAGGAAGTGGTGAATCGATAGTCTCACCTCGAACCCAAAAACTTGCCCCAGAATGAAGCGTTGAAGAAACGTCTTCATAACTCCCCCCCTTGCTTGGTCTAACATTCCACATGTCCTGGACTGATTAGTAGTACTGCTCTTTGCATTCCTGACCTACGAAGCATATATCCTAACTAGTGGGTTTTACGATTATCGCTGTTGTCGCTAGTTGCAGTATCTAAATCGGAACCCCTGCCCCAGTTCCATTGACGCGCCTCCTTGACGGCATACCCTCAACTTCTTATCAACTTCTCGTCTCGATCGTCAACCTACTCGTCGCCAATTACTTCGCCGCCAACGCCGCCAACGTCTATATAGACAATAGAATATTCCGGACAACTTTTGCCAGTGCACTGTCACATGATCACAAACTGGCAAAATGTCAAATAGTGGTGGTACTCTGACTCTGCCTTCCCCAACTCATCCACATCATCACCATGTGGATGTCCAAGCAGGCCTAAGGACATTAAGGCGATCACTTTCACGCTCCCCCTCAAAATTTTCTCTTGTTAGAACTACATCTCAGAGCAGTTCTGACACGAGCTCCCCCTCATCTCCGTGCATTAGACGCGTTCAGTCCCAATATTTTGGACAGAACACTTCCATTAATTCTCCTTCTGGAAACCAACCACATACCCAATCGCCACTTGCAACACCATTCCGGCCGAGTGTCAAATTATCATTGCGATCTGCGAAATCGACAAAGAGTCCCTCTTCAGCTTCATCAAACAAAACAATTTCTCGGCATCGCACATCACCAAGAAGCCCATCTAGAAGGGCATTATCTCAAGCCTCTGCCTCTGGCAATTCGTATCCGCCTTTAACACCAACCCCGCTACTTGAACCAGCCCTCTCCGGGCAGGAAAATATAAATATTTTCCACACCCGCAGCCCGGGTCCGCGCAAACCTGCCGAGAGAACCGCAAATCGACATAGTGTGCATCTCGATATGACTGGATCTTCGCAGTTTGGCGCGTCGCGTTGCGGCGACGCGAATAATAATGCCACTACGACTTCTGTCACAAGCCCGCTGAAGCGAAGCGACGCGACGAGGAACATTGACCAAACTCTTACGGGAAGTCCGAAACCCAAACGTCGCAGTTATGGTCCAACAAGTTTGGGTGTCGACTTCAATGTCTATGATCATGGTCCCGGCTCATCAAATGCTGAAGCTCAAGATGACTCTCGCGAATATGATTGGACAAGCTCCATCTCTCCAAATGTTTCTGAGCCATTGGCATCTCTAGCATCTCATGCGGCGATGCGCAGGGCTGGATCTCTTCGAAAGTCTACTCTTCAGCAGCGAGAGCGAACATCGTGGGGCAAGCGCCATGCGGCTCAGCAATTATCTCAGAGCTCTGGCGAAGCTACTACTCCTCAACGAGAGCGAACCTCGTGGGGAAGACGAGGCGCACCACAGTTAGCCCAGTCTCCCAACGAGACTACTACACCTAATGGGAAGAACCGACCGCGATTGTCTCTTGATCACTTCATGCCTCCTCCCCCTCGAGAGAGTCCGTTCAATACGCCGACTCCGCTGCCGAATCCTTCTATGCATATGCTTAACCAGCAGGCCCAGCAGGCCCAGCAACCACAGCAGCCGCATCCATTGTCCCGTACTATGACGACATCGTCTTCTAACTCAAGTCTATCTAACGACTCACCCACGCACTTTCAAGTCCCGGTCGCTGAAAAGTCGAGGGCGCCTATGAACTTCTCCAAGAGTTTGCCGATTGGTACTGTTCGTCCGCAACATTACAAGCCAAGCCATGGTATTGCAAGTATTTCTACTCCTGACTACAAGCACGAAAGACCATATGAAGGAGCTTTCGCATCTACCGGCTTAGTATCAAAGATGGTTCGCGACCCGGAGAAAGCTTCTTCTGGTAGTGCTTACGGAGCTGTTCCCGACACACCTTGTAAGAAGCCCCCTAGTGGATTTGCCACCTATCCGCAGTTTGTTCCTCTGTCTGGCAACGCCAAAGCTAGAGGTAGGCACATCAAACATACCTTCGGCTTCCCATCAAGCCCTTTCGATGCAGTAACACCGAACCGACCTGCAAATCCCTTCAGCGAGCAGTCTCGACCCGTGCTCTTCGGCGGATTTTCTAACCATTCCCGAAAAGAAAGTCTACTCAGCTTGTACAGCGATGATGGACGAAGCCCTTCTGGGACACTTGGCGGTAGCGAGTCTAGTAACGATGGAGATTTACCGCCGACGCCCACAAAGCAGCAGACCGCGCCGCGAAGTACAAGCGGATTGAGCCGGCTGTCTACCGAAAGCCCCACGGCCAATCGCCGCCTTCCTGCTTTTGGAGCCAGCGCAGCTTTGCAGCAAGACCCTGCCGCTAGCTGTAAGTATTACCTACCAAAGCGATCCTGCAATGGCGGAAAAGGCAGAGAGAATATCACCCCTATTGAGGGTGCCTTCAACCTGCCAACCCCTGCTATCCAGGAGACGCAATCCAACATCTGCCTCTCTTTGCCTTCGTTTAGTCGATCTCGAGCTCAGCGTGGTGCGTTTTCTTCGCCTGTGCGGCTCGAGACCCGCTCAATGACTCCTCCCGTGACGTCCCCTACCAAAGTTGAATTTGCTAAGAGTAGCCCCGTGATCACAGCGAGTCCTTTGGAGCGACTGGAATTTGCAGAGAAAGCATCCCCCCGAACCCCCCAGGGAAGCTTCGCGCCTCTTGATGCAAGCCGCCTATCAATTTCTAACGCGAACGACGCGAACGACGGCTTCTTGTTCCCCGGAACTGGCGATAGAAATTCGCCTCTCCCGCCTGCTACCCCGACCACACGACACGATAATGTCCCGGCATTCTTTGAACGACGCGCTATTACCCCTATTAATGGTATGCCTTCCCACGATTTGGACGAGGGACTCATGTCGCGTTTTGGAAAGGTTGAATTCATCGGCAAGGGTGAATTTTCCCAAGTGTACAAGGTCACCGAAGTCGCTCAGTCCGCAAGAACGGTTCAGCCTGGCTTCTTCAGTACACCTACCCACCGGACAGCCTCCCCCCCGCCTACTAAGGTGTATGCTGTCAAGAAGCTCACGCTTCCGATTCAAGGCAACAAGGATCGAGCCCTTCGATTCCGCGAAGTATCTGTATTGGAAACCCTGAAAGGTTGCGATCATGTCCTGCAGCTCGTTAACAGCTGGGAAGACAGCAGCTGTCTCTATATTCAGACTGAGTATTGCGAAGAGGGAAGTCTTCATGAATTCTTGTCTTTTGTCGGCTTGAAGGGACGACTCGATGATTTCAGAATCTGGAAGATTATGCTTGAGATTGGCAAGGTACGTAAAATGCAATTGGATGCGCGGGAAGCGACTAACATTTGTAGGGTTTGAAACATATTCACGATGCTGGTTATATCCATCTGGATCTGAAACCTGCCAATATCTTTATCAACTTCGAAGGCGCTCTGAAGATTGGCGATTTCGGTTTAACGACAGCTTTGCCGATAGAGAAGGGACCCGATCTAGAGGGAGATCGCGAGTACTTGGCGCCCGAGGCTCTTCGAGGAGAGATTGGCACGCCTACCGATATATTTTCATTCGGCCTGATCATGCTGGAAATCGCAGCCAACGTCAAACTGCCTGAGAATGGAACAACTTGGGCTGGGTTGAGAGAGGGCGACTTCTCCGAGGTTCCCACCCTTACTCAGGAAGCGGGTGCCATTGTGCGGGATGCTAATGGCATGCCGCTTGATGATAGTGATCGCAGCGTCGGTCTATTTGGAGATGATCGTGCTACGCCTGCTGGGCGCCGCAGCTATAACTTCCGTAATACCACGCGCCAATCGGCAGACATTTTCGGCCTGGGTCGCAAGAGCGAACTACAGCATCCTCCGGATTTCATGAAGGACCCTGATCACCCTAACTCCCTTGATATAGTTGTGAAGTTGATGCTCACACCGGATCCCATGATGCGTCCTACAATTTCCCAATTGCTTGATCTTGAAGCAGCAAACTGGGTCGCATCACGTCAACGAGCTGCCGCGACGGTCTTTGAAGGAAATTGGGGTCCTGCTGACGAAGTTTCGGTTCCCATCTCACTGGATACAGAGATGACTGACGTCTAAATGTCTCGCTCGAACTATTCGACTGATTTCATGAGACTGGCCGAATCTTGCTCGACCTGGCATAGAACTGGATATGGAGTTGCATTTGCCATAGTGGTGGGTGTTGGTTTGCCTTGCGTATATCGGCCGACTTGGCTGGATATGTAGAGGCTGTCATAAGGTTTCTGGCGTTTGACCCAGGGATATTCGAGCACAACTGGAGATGGATGGCGTGCCTGAGTTTTGCGTCTTGAACGATGCACAATTTGGTTCTATTTCGAGCCGTAATTGCGATACGATATCTATACTGTATTTGCTTTGGCGAATGCAGTAGTGTTTTTGACCATCATTGGTCCTTGGTACAGGTGTTCCTACGGTTGGGAGGCATGTGTCAACCTTGATATACCATCAGGGGATTTCTTTGGTCCTGGACTATCATCCGTCGAATATTTCCCCCAACTCTGAAGGCGACTAGGTCTCGAAGAGAGATATATCGTGGACATCATAGTCGGATCTTTCGGACCAAAGCTTTGCAACGGCGGCGTTTTCTTTTCGGCGGAGGCGAGCAGTTTTCTTTCCTTTGTGATTTTTGACGAGTTGGCTGTTTTCAACAAGTTACTCCGACATAACGGTATGGAAAGGGGGAAAATGGACACGGCCGTAATGAACGGGCATTCGGAGGGGCGTCTTTTGCTAGACTCGGCTTCGCACCAGTGTAAATATAGAAACGGAAAAGTTGTGCTTAGAGAGATCAGCTCACCCAGACTAACTGGATCGTCATCTCGAGAGGACAAGGAGGATCGGTCGGACACATCCTCGGTTTTTACGAAACCCGTATGAATGACGATATGCTATGATTTGCTGGTATGAGCTTTTTGGTCGCGATTCGATTCTGTGGTGTGATAGTTAATGGTGGATGTGATTCGTTTCTTTTGTCGTCGGTAGTTGAAGTTAATAGGTTCGCGCAGTACCTTCAATACCAATTAATATATCGCACGTCTTGCCGATAACTGGTCTGGAAGAAGAGAGAGAGAGAGAGAGGAATGAGTAGGAAGTAGGAGTGATGTTTACATGTTTTGATCAGTCCGAGGCAGGATGTTTGTTTGGAGAAGATATGGACGTCTCCGCCTGCTAGTCAGTCCATCGTAAGGTTACCGCCAGTAAGGTTACCCAGGCACGCAAAAGTTTGTGACACTTAGCCTACCTAGGTAGGATAGTCTCACAGTACGGGGCATATTTCTAAGTGGTTGCCTCCTAGTCACTGACATCCATGTTGTTCTCATTCATTGCCTAGCTACATGCAACTATCCACTACCTAATCTATAAACATCATGCGGTATGCTTCTTGCCAGACCCGCTTGCCAGCCGGGTAAGCATTCCCTCTAGAATCATTGGGGGGTGGGGAGAGAGGGGGAAGGGGGTCTTGTTATTTATCTGCAATATCATGACCGGCCTAAGAAAATACCTTATTGTCTTCGCAGTATAGTGAATAACCTCTCGGCTGGTAGGGATATCCTTGGAACTGGCTTCGGACGCATGTGGAGTATCTTGATGACACGAGGACAGGCATACAACTAACTGCTTAGTGAAGGTTCTTCTATAACCACAAGGCCGGAGTGTTTTGCAAGGCTTATAAGAGACGCGAGCGCCTCATAACAGGTAAAAGTAAGACATAATTCATCGAGGCTCGTTACTAGACACAAAACCCTATTCACCCCTTAGCCGCCTTCCTAGCTCCAACGCCAACGCCAACCCCCATCTCGACATCTTTCTCGACATCCTTCCCACCGCTACTCTTACTCGACTGCGCCGTACCCGGCGCAGCAGGCGTGCCCTTGGGTTTACGGCGCACGGGCTGATAGACATCGTTAAAATTCATTGCGACGCCAAGGAAGCGCAAGTCGACGTCGGCTTGATAGGCCAGGTCGCCGAGCAGGATCTGGAGCTTCGCGCGGAAGCGGTCGCCCAGGTGGCGCAGACGCTCTCTCAGCGCCGGGAACTCGCTGTGCGGACCCCCTGGGATGGGAGCGGAATCGTCAGTGGGGATCGTGTGCCGGAGATCGGCTTCCTGCCGTTGGGTGAAGTCCGACACGGACCACGAGTATAGCCCATCGACGCAGTCGCGGTACGCGAGCATTGTGCGTAATAGCTCGCCTAGCTGGATCATGTAGCTGTTGTCGTCTTCTTCGGCGGGGGCCGGGGCGGCGCCGGCCGCAGGATTGGATGCGGAAGCGGCAGCACCGGCATTTGAGACGAAGCGTCGGCGACGGGCGCCTAGAAGACCCTTGTGAGTGATAGAATTAAGGTAATTGGAATGGGCGGTGATGACGTCGTCGAGGGTAGCGTCCTCCTTGTGTAGCTTATCCTGGAGCTCGGTCCATGAGCTCTCGATAACCTCGAAGAGGATATAGTACTGGAGCTGGCCGACGAAGTGGACCATCTCGGCCAGGAAGCCGCGGGTGGTCTTCCAGGTCTGGCGAACGGCTGGGTGATCAGTCTGCAGAACGCCACGGGAACCGGTGGTGACCTTGCGCCAGGTGGATGAGAGGGCGAACTCGACGCGCTTGATGCGCCATAGGAAGTTGAACACTTTGAGGTACTGCCGATTGCCCCAGTCGGATACGACCACGTCAACCGGTGCGTCGATTTTGTATTCGAGCGTGAAGCAATCCCAGCCTATGTCACCGTGGGAGAGCTGCAGCATACGTGCGTCGAGACGGCGCAAAACCTCAGGGGAGTCGTACTGCGCATTGGACCCGCGGATAGCGTGCTCGAGCTGCGCCGTCAGAGTGTGTCTGTATTGGGCACCGGCTGGACGATCGAGGTTTGCAGCGAGCGACTCCATCAGCAGGGCGATAAAGTCACCCTGCCCAAGAAGAATATAGCTCTTCAACGCCTGAAGGTGCTCGAAGAGATGGAATTTGTTGGTCATGAGATGCAGTAGTCGGCGCATTGTAGTTTTATACGCCTCGTCGATCCATGTCTCCAAGGTGGCCGTGTCGCCGTATCGAAGCTCCCTAGAAGATTCCTTGGAGTATGATTCGACCCACTGGGCGTCACCGCAGCTGTTGTGGATGAAGTTAAGAGATTTACCAATGAGAAAGACCTTCTCAGAGAACTCGCTCGTCATAATGGAAGGGACCATGTCTGCTGCTAATATGTATTTATCCTCCCAAACATTGGTAGATCCCGATTTGCCCTTGGGCATGGCCTCTACCGACTGCTCTTGCACGAAGAACTCAAGATACGGATCCGAGAGCTCTCCATTGTATATCCATTGCCTTAATATGCCATAGAAAGGACGAGTAATAGGCATTAGGAGTCGCTCGGCGAATGCGCCTACTATGGGATCGCCGTGTGAAGAGGATAACGAATGGATCAGGGTGATGAGCTGACCTCCTTTCTTGCTTTTAGACTCTTCGGCAATCATGCTCATAAGTCGTAGACCCATAGTTGCTTCACGAGTCCATACCACGCAACGCTTCAACGTCACGCCGGCCTTTCCAATGCCACTTCGTGGAGCATTTTCGTCAATAGTAGACAATGCACGTCGGATTTGGCCTTCCAGCGTTGCCACGAGCGTTAAGTACGAGCGTAACTCGTTACTTATAGCTGCGCGGAGACTTTGGCCTAGGAGACCCTTTGCGGGCGTCTTGACGAATTCTTCGAGAGTGCGGTAGAGTAGTGAGGGTTCAGCGAGTGTGTGAAGAAGTCCAATTAGGGGTGGTGGGAGAGTGGCAGGCAACTTGAGAGAGTCATCTTTGCCAAATGGGAGAGTAGTCGAGGAAAGACCCTGCAGAGTATAGGGTAGATCTCGTAGGAGAGCAGGCTCTGAAGGTTCGATATCGCAATAGTTATCAGCCAGTAGCTTAGATTTTATGGCAACATCTCTCTTGGCAGGGCCTGGAGTCTCTTCTCTCGCACCCCTGGCACGTCTATAATCACTAGCGGTCGAGGGCCGTCGAGAGTCGCTGTCGTGTGATTTCATATCTTTTGGATTCTTGAGCACGTCTCGAAGTTCGGTGGGATGGTACTCGTCCGAACTCTGCTCTGGTCTATATAATTCGGAACTTTCTTGGTTGGAAGGACCACCTAGGCCTGACTCTTCTCTTTCCTCTCGTTTCCTCCGCTTGGCCTGCTCCTGCTGAAATTCGGCAAAGGCGACAGGATCTGGCTCCGTTGGATCGGGTGAGTCGGCCAATTGATAGAGAAGGTATAGTATAGCCCATTTTTGGGTTAGGACAGGCAGCGCCAGCAACCTCGAGTAAAGATTGGAGTAGCGTAAAGCCTGGCTCGGGTTCGTTTGAACCAACCTTCGTCTAATAAGTTCGGATGCATGATTCTGGTCGGCTAAGGGAGGTGGTCGGGGTCTAGTAAGGATAATGTTAATTGCTTGTTCTTATAATGATTGCAGGCTATTCTTACTGATTTAGTTGTTGTCTAATCTCGTCGAAATATAAGTCATGTCTCTCTTGTGCATCTTCGTCGCTCAAGCGTGGATCGTCTGGTATAAGTTGCGAAATTAAGCGGTTGATACTAAGATCAACACGCTTTGTCCGGTCTTGATTTGACCCGGACATTGTGTCATTTTGAAATACTGTTCGTAAAAAAAACCTCCCGAGGCACAAGGGATAATAGTTCATAAAATGTAGCTATGAGTATAAATAAATATTGGAAAACCTAAGATGGTGTATTGTAGAGTAGAGTATAAGTATACTACATAAGTGCATGGCTTAAATGCACGCGACGCGACGAAGAGCAGACGAAGAACTCTATGCTATTAGTTTAGGTACCTACCTCCCTCCTAAGGTCTGGTGCTGGTGGAGGGGCTCATTGAAGGTTGTGTCCTGGTAACACAGGCAGGTAGGCAGGTAACAGCAAGCTTAAGCGCTATCCGCTATCCGTGGTTTAATAAAGTTCAAGGTACTTATTGCACACATGAACTAGGTATGTAAGGCCCTAATTCTTCCCTACCACAAAGTAGCTTCTACATCAACTTTTCCCCCATGGGAATCCACCGTAACCCCAGAATCCCAATCAAAAGGCGGTCCCCTCTGAAGTGAGTAGCACTACTCAGCACCACTCAGCACCACTCAGCACCACTCGACGCTGCTTTCCAATCTAGACGACATCCCAAAACCTCCCGCTTAATGGCTACCAGAAAGGCGGCGTATTTTCCATCAAATACCGGCCTTTCCTATACATTTTTTTATCATTTCAAAATTGGTATTCGGATCGCATCAATCTGCTGCACTCGATGAACGGGTTTTAAACCCTTTTTCGGGCTGCGCTGTGCTCCTAGCTCGATCGCGACATCCCGCGCATAATCCGCCCAACATCGCGCTTTTGTCGTATTTGTCGTATCACCAACTATCAACATTTCCGAATTGAGCCGTCAGAATCGATAATCACCGCCCTACTACCCGCACAACGCAACAACGCACGACACCTAATTCAACCCCATTCCACACTCGCACTCCCGACATCCCCGACATCCCCGATCTCCCCGACCCTCCTCCAACATGCCCGACATAGATCCCGCGGCTCTGAGCCGCCCATCTGTTAGCCTTTCCACCCCGACTCTTAAATCAATAACAGTTTCCGCGCCCTCTACCCAGAAAGTGACTAAAACTAGCCAAATTATCCCCGCCCGCATTGATCTCGAACCTCTATATACAGCTCTTAAATCGGCAATTGGGAATGAACAATGGAATACATACAAAGAATCAACTACCCAGTTTATACTAGGTAAGTCTTTGTTAGCATTGCCTTGCCTGCATAAATCTTACCCATGTTATAGGACGCTTGAATCAGGCAGAGTATTCCGAACGTATCGATCATATACTATCCAATGGCGACAAAACCCATCTCCACAACCAGCTTCTCGCTGCTATATACGGAAACCTTACGAGGGAAATGCCAGACCAAGGAGTTGCGCCCTGGGTTTCTGCGAATGACAAACCCACCACCAACGTCGGCGCAAAGCCTGTGACCGGAGATGCTGCCGAACGAAGACTAAAAGGAGAAGTCATGCAACTTCCGAGTCGCGATCGAAGACGTATAAAGGAACTTGCTCAGAATGACGTGAGTGAAGTTGTCACGATGCGCTACGAGTTCACCATGACTAATAAGCTGCTATACAGTTTGACCCCTTCGAATCTTTGGCAGCTGTGTTTTCGGAACACCACCGAAGCAGAATAGCCCGCGTACCGGACATACCTCAAAGTGCCAATGCTAATGACTTGAACAAAATGAGTAAGCAGCCCTCTTCCAATTAAAACTGGGCCCAATTGTTTTCTCATCACAAATACAGACTGGGATCTCGAGATTCGCAAACGATTTGCACAACCCTTGGCAGTGGAGTCGGGTGAATTTCCGGACATAACGAGCATTGAATCAAGGATGCTTCCAATCTGCTACGAAGCAGGACTTGTTAATGGCCATTCTTCGGATGCTACACAATTCATGACCGTTGCCGCCGAGACCTTCATCAAGGAATTTCTTTCGACAGTGTTCACTAGAACGAGGAGCAATGGGCCTGGCGATTCTGGGAGTGCTGGATTCGGTTCCGGGGCCAACTGGATTCAAACCCACAAGTATCGCCGCCAGCTAAGACGAGAAGAAGCAGCCTTCTCTAGAGGGGAGCTGTCTAGAGATAAGAGCGGACTCCTACCCGTCGAAGCAAAAGCTGCTAGCGAACGATCCCCGCTAAGCATGGCTGACTTACGACTCGCTCTAGAAATAGGTGACTGTGGCATCAGTTCGTTCCCTATCATCAGGAAGTCAGTCATATACAACTATAGGGATGGCGAACTCGAGAACTACAACAACTATACCTGGCTCCACGGCCAAAAACCCAAAGATTTCGAAGATTCAGCCGTTAATGGTGCCGGTCAGCATGGTCCTATGAACGGCGGTGCCTACCCAGAACCAATGGACATAGACGAAGAGCCGATAGTATGGGAGGGTGCAAATAACGAGGATACGTCGATGCTAGACAGTGTTTTGGACTCATGCCTCGCAGTCCCTTAGGAAGGGGAGGAGGCCGCCAAAACATCGTTAGCGGAAAACATCTAGGATGCCGTTGGCCCCTTGCGTTTTCTGCCTGCATCATAGGAAACACCTCATAATGGTTGGTCATATATACGGCGGCAAAAACAGCTTGCCTGCTCTCTTAGAGTTGGCACATTTACGTCACTTAAAGTCATTCAACCCCTTAGGGCAAGGGGTTTTGCATCAGCATAGGGGTTAGGGGCGTTGATTTTGTATTGCATTTTTGTTTGGCGTGTATGAACATTGAAAACGAGGGTGAGAAGCGTGGTCGGCTTTGGCGTTACTCTCTGGTGGATATGTACTCTATTGCAGCGATACCCCCCTACGCCATGGCAGGAATACTGTCCGAGTTCTTGTAAGATCATTTCGCACGATGGATAGAGTGGAGAAGGTCTAATTGGAGGTAATAATACGGCCTGTAATAGTATATAGGTAGGTTAGGTTAGGTAGGTACGATTGCCCCAAGACTCGAGAAGCCAAAAGAAATAAATTCAACGATACGAATATGCGAATTACACTAGTGTACCTATTAATGTTACCTGTTAACTGAAGTCAAATATTTCGCGATTGGGGAGCCCCACATATGCACGGGTTGCTGCATATCTACATATACGTAAATGGATCGCGAAGTTTGACGCGAAAGACGCGTTTTACCAAAGCGCGTACAGGGGGGGAGCTACAGTATGAAAGCAATTAAACCCTCCAGCCCCCACTTACAACTTCCATCTAACATACAAACACAAAGTTACCTACATATTAAACTGGCCATTTTATTCTTAATTCTTCATGTAATGTCTTTTTGAGATTATTTTATCATCAATTGTATCTCGTTGGCAAGCATTGGTATTTCAAATGGCATCTACTCGGTCACCATCGCCGGCCGAGGGCGTATCTGCCCCTACGTCACCGCAATTATCACCTCGGTCTAAGATCAAGGCCCTATTAGCCACCGTAAATGATGCGGATTCAGATGACGAGTCTAGCTTTGCGATAGACGCGAAGGCTCTGTCAAAACCTACTCTTAAAGACATTATCACGAATACCGAAGCCCATACCCTGTCAGATGCAGAGGAAGATAGCGATGATGAAGAGGAGATCGTTCGACCCCGAGGACGCCTCGCTGCGCGGATGAGAGCAAATGATGCAAATACGACAAACAACACCATACCCAGGAGCTCAATTGAACCAACACTATCACATACTACTTCGGCGAATAGCAATGAGGAAAATAGGAAAGCGGTAAATGCAGACGATGATGACGATGAAGATGTCAGTACTTTACCGCGTAGGCGGCAAGCTAGGCCCGTTCGAAGCTCTACTCCGGAAGCTTCAGCAAATACCGAAATACCCTCCTCACCAGGTCTCTTTGTTACACCAGCCCCCGAGACGCCAATGGCACATCGGCAACCTGGAACTGGAGCCGAGTCCGACACAGACGATGAGTTGCCAGAAAACTTAGGGAAGAGTGAACGCTTCTTGGCCTTAGTGGCTAGGAAGCGGCAAGAGAGGCTTGCCAGGGAGGCTGAAGAAGAGCGCAAGCGAAATGAGCGTGCCGAGCGAATGGGCCAACAAATGCCCACCGAATCAGATATTGACGACGACGTATCTGATGTCACAGACGATGACGGCGGCCGCAAACTCACTCAGGAGGTTTCCCGTCCCGCTCGCAAAGCTAGCAAGAAGGCTTTGGAAGAGATGAACCGTGAAACGCAACGATTAAGTCGAAGCATGCAACTTGCTCACGAAGCGAAGACGAAGAAAAAGATCACGAAAGCATCTTTATTCGAACGCTTCAACTTCAGGGCAGAGGCGGTGTCTACTGAAGCCAAGCCAGTAAGCTCGAGCAGACCAACAACACCCGGCTCGGCGCAACAGACGGATGTTGACATGGCAGATGCTGGGACTCCACCCAGCTCTCCACCTCTTGCTCCGAAGGTCATGGAAACCCATCTCGCTACACCTACAGCACCGAGTACTCGCGTAGATCCAGACGATGTATTCGGGGATGATGGCGAGTTGCCCAGCTTAGAAGTTGCTTTGGCGCAAACTAAAAAGGACAAGGGTAAAGGTAAGGCCATTGACGTCTCGGACCAACCCATTGAGATCAAAGGGGCCGCGGCGGGTAAACCAAAGCGTCAAATCCGAGTCAAGTTACCTCCAATGCAAGCAAACCTTGTCACGATAGATTCTGATGACGAGCTTGAAATTACCAAGCCGAAGAAGGGAAGAATGGATGCGATTTTCGACAAGCTTCCTGAGAAGAAAACACAGGAATCTAAGTCCATGGATGTGCTGCGTCGCTTAGCTCATCTCTCTTCTCCCCCGAAGGAAATATCAAGGGGCCGCAGGACCAAACCTTCCATGACCCCTGCTGAACTCCAAATGTCTTTACAGCAGCGCGCTAGAGCACAGGCTAAGTTAGAACGCGAGCGACGTCTCGAGTTCCTCAAATCTAAAGGCATCGCCGTACAGACTGAGGAAGAACGCCAGCGGGAAAGAGAGCAGGTCGAAGACATTGTTGCCCGAGCTCGACAAGAGGCAGAAGAAATCATGCAGAAAGAACGTGAAGATGCGAAGAAGGCACGCAAAGAGAAGAAGAAAAATGGTGAAAATGATCCTCTAGCTTGGGATGATAGTGAGGACGATAGCTTTGAGGATAGTGGGGAGGAAGATCCTGCCGAGATTGAGTTGTCTGGATCAGAGGAAGAAGATGAAGAAGAGGACAAGGAGATGGACGATGACGATAATGAGAATGAGGACGAGCCCACAACAAATCCCATAGTTGAGGATGAAGCAGAGGAAGATGGCGAGTCTGAGGAGGAAAGCACGCCAAAATCCGCTGCAAATGTAGCTTCTGATGACGAAGCCGACGTTGAGCTCCCGCCTGCCAGGTTCCGCCGGCCAAAGAAGCACGCCCATGTTGTCTCGGATGACGAGGACGACGTTGAAGCAACTCCAAGACCCAAGACTCGTCAGGCCAAATCTCCATCAGCCATCAACTCCTCTCCCAAGATTCCTACGTCTGTCTTGCGCTCAGCTAGGAAGACATTTATTCCCGGACTCCCTGTTCCCGCGGATGGGCCTGCAGGGCTCGGGCTTACCCAGATATTCGCAGGTACAATGGATGATAGTCAAGCCGGGCCAGCCAGCGGGTCTCCTCAGAAGTTCATGCCCAGTCTTGACAGCTTCCCCGACTCTCAGTTTTCTGCCACAGCAGGCCAATCTCAGGATAATACAGTTCTCGACAGCCAGAAGTTGCACAATATAGATACCCAAATACGTGAAACACAGACACAAGGTGTCCAGTTACACTTCTCGCAGTCTCAAGCAAACGGCTTTGATACCTTGATGCAAATAGACGGGACGCAAATGTCAGAGCTCATTGAGCCAACCCAGGATGGGGGCTTCCAGGACTTCTCTCCGCTCAAGCAGCGGTTTGTCGACGCGCCAGGATCTACGGTCGACACCGTATTATTAGGTGGGACTCCTGACTTCGAAAAAGTCCAAGAGTCTCCTCTTGTCAGGAGGGGCAAGTTAAGACGAAGAGGCGAAAGTATAGCCTCAATTTCTACCTTAACGTCGACGACAAATATTCCTGCAAGTCCCAGCGCCGCCCCTAGCGCCCTACCTACAGATACTAAGGCAAATGCGAGTGCGTTCAGACTAATGGAAAAGGCGGCCAGGAGGAAGAAGCGCATGCAAGAGAAGTTTGACAGGAAAAAGAGCAAGGCCAATGAGATGGTTGAGGAGCAAGCTGAGGAATCTGAGGATGAGTATGCCGGACTTGGTGGAGCCGACGGTGAAGACTCGAGCGAAGAGGATGACGAGCTCGTCAAGGAAATGATAGACGACGTTACCAGCAACGACGCTGACGCTGCTAAGCTGGCTGGTTTCTTTGCGTGAGTAATGCCTTCCAATACGCAATAGAAAAAGACGCTAACGATACTACAGTGATCGAGAACGAGCAGCCGATGCAGCCCAGGTCGACAAGCTGTTCCGAGATATCACGACCGGTATGCTACGCAAGCGGCGCCGTGGTGGTGACAACAATGACTTTGACCTATCGGATTCTGACGATGGGGGCGAGGCTCGACGTCGTATGAAGCGGCGACAGTTTGCCAAGATGCAGAAGGCCCTGTTTGCAGACGAGCGCATCGGAAAGATCGCCGAAAACCCGCGCAACGCAGCGTTCCTCAAGAGCATAGAGGACAGGAACAGCGACGACGAGTGGGATTTCGGTGAGAATCTTGCAGATGGAGCTCCCGACAGCGCGGACAGCGATAGTCAAAGTCAGAGCCAGGGGCAGGATGCGTCAGCAGCAGCAGAGCAATCGATCCCGAACAGTCAACCTACGAACGGGGATCGCAAACGCACACATGCGGATGATCACGTAGCACGCCCGCCCCCGAACGCGAGACGCACTAGAGGGGGCATTCGTCCCTCGTCAATTACCGATGTCCGAAGGGAATTATCCGACTTACTTGACGAACCCAACGGTTCTGGCTTGTCGATTATCCCCGCCACGGAAATAGGATCTGATGGCGAGGACGAGGAGCGTCCGACCACGTCTTCATCTAACAAAGAGAATCGACGCTCAGAAATCGCAGTCGTCGATCGCATCAAGCTCAAGCGCGATTCCTCATCCCTATCCACAACTAGCAATGGTGGAGCGGGCTCGTCACGCCTCGCATTCGCGGCTTCATCAGCATCAGGTAGCAGTGGTCTATTCAAAGTGCCAGCACTACTGAGACGGGCGACAACGAACTCACTCATCTCAAATTCCTCGACTAGCACGACGAGTAATAGTAGCGGCCTCACGGGTGCCGCCAGTCTAGCGGGAGGAGATGACGGCAAACTCCTGAAGAAGACGGCGGGCAAGCGCTCTGGCATCAACTATTTTGCGCGAGAGAACGAGCGTCGGGCTGCGGTAGCAGAGGCGGAGAAGAGGCGCGAGGCGAAGAAATGGAAGGGTGCTGAGGGCAGGAGTAAAGTCGTCGGCGGATTGTTTGGTGGCGGAAAATTCGAGTAGGGAGAGCAATTTACATTCACAAGGCGTTATAAGGGAGGTTTTTTAGGGGATAGGCTGCATGGCGTTGGCGTCTAGGGTCGCTCGTTAGGTTAGGAGTGCGACCGGATCGATATTGACAATGCGTACGTGTTTTCGTACATTGACTTAGAAGGTCATGCTAACTAGTGAAATCTATCTAACATGATTAATTATGAGAATTCCCCTTCTTCTCGTGCTTTGTTTTTAAGTCTATATTGTTCTTTATGTTTAAAGTTTCTTAAAATTGTACTAACATGTACAGTATACCATTCATGAAGCTACGAAAAGGGGGGAGACTTCACATTTAGGTACCTTAGGTAAGCATAATCAGTATCCTTTACCGAAGTTTGACCGTTACGTCATTACGGTAACCTTGCATTTCCTTACTCTATCATCTCATCACTGATTCTATCATAGTAGTTGCCGTTGAAACAACCCTCGGGATTTCACGTAAAATTCAACCAGAGGATGTGTAAGAATACGGTTATCCCATGTATTATTCAACCCCAAAAGGTCTAAGACGAATTTCTACCGATGATGGAAAGTCTACCGTCTAAAAACCCTGGGTCCCTCATTCGTATAGAGGGGCTACACTGCGCCGGTTTAGCATTCACGAGAATGTCTCGAGGGTCCATCAACTAATTATTTGTCTGATTAATCATGGCACCACCACCGGCAGTGAGTTCTGAGCCAAATAGATGGTTATATAGCAATTTACTAACTACCTTACCTACATATACTAGACCCCGACCCCGACACCACATCGGTTCCTAGTGCCGAAGAGGTCGCAGCCTAGGAATGAGACACCTAAGGCATACCAGAGCGGTGGACAGCAGTTCCATGCCACGCCGCGGTTCTCACTTTATTCGACTCCTAGAGGACAAGGAGCAGGAGGCGAGGGTTCATCGCTTCGCCCGTCTTCTAGTATTCCCACGCCCGCTCCCGCTTCCGCTAGGATCGGAGCCGGGACTTACTCTCGGCCCACTCCGCGCACTACTGATCCTATCAACGATATCTTTGATAGCTCTCCACCTTTCCCCGAAGAGCAGCAACCGGGTGGTGGTGGTGGCGCCAATCATCGCGACCCCATTGAAGTCCTCGACGTAGACGTAGATGTAGACACAGACGTCGATGCTGTGCCCGAGTCCTCGCCAGTGCGAGAATTCGGCGACACCCATGATGACGAAAGCAGTGAAGAAGAGGAAGATATACCAAGCCGGTCTCCCAAACGCCGGCGCATTTCCATATCCTCCTCCAATTTCAGCAGCAATACCCACGACTCCGCACAACATGAGGACGATAACGACAATGACGGTAACTACGACTATGATAACAACGAAAACGAGGACACCATCATGCTTGAGTACCCCCCGTCTTCCCCACCCACTCACCACCCATCAGATTCCGATACTCCAGAACCCTCCCTCCCTAGACCCTCTACCTCCGTCCAGCAGCCCACCTTCCAAAAAGCACCCCGGTTCAAACCCATCGAGGCGCCGGAAGGCGGGCCCCGCTACGGCGACCCGCTCCCCGATACCTTCTCGCCGCACCGCCGGGGTACCAAGTACATACCCGGCGGCCTGGCGGCCTCGGTGCGCGACTGGTTCGTCGACGTATGGGCCGGCGCTGCTGCGAAGCGCGACGGGGAGGGGGAGTGGATTGCCCGGGTCTTGGTGGATGGGGTACAAGGGTCGGCGGGTATGACGCTAGTTACCGGACGGTATGTGGCGCGGGAGGAGGACGGCGAGCCGAGTGCGGCTGATGATGAGAAGGGTGCGAGAAGTGCGAGGGTTGTGCTTGCGGGGAGCCAGAAGCTGGTGGGACTGGAAAGGGGGCTGGAGGTGCGTCCTGGCTCGGTGGTGGGCGTGGGAAGACCGAGTTGGGAGGCTGTGGTCCCGGGACAGGGGCGCTGGGGTGTGGTTTGCGAGTGGGCTGTTTTGAGGTGAGGTGAGGTTTTGAGGACTTAGATTAGGGCGTGGTTTATGTGCTGGGGTTGGAATTTTCTGTGAATATGATCTAATACTATTGAATCCGGTAAAGTGCTATTTCATGGTGGTTGTCCTATGGTGGTGGTGGGATGTTATATTATAGCTACTAAATCTACGATGTAATCACAACATATAATGAATAGATATCTAGGTAGGCATATTCCATCCCATAAACTGTAAAAGAAGCTAGTTAGAAAGGGTTACGCTAGCATGTCTTTGTTCTACACGAGGCAATTTGCTAAAGGGGAATGACTCCCTGTCGTTACACCATAAACTACCTACTTACTCGGTGCTTGTTAGACTTGTAAAACGACGAAACACAGATAGGAGGTAGACGATTCCTTTATTACCTTTCGAGGTTAACAATTTCACTATCGTATTATGTGAATAAATGCATTACTCCTGTCAAAATGCATTCAAATTTGATATATATAAAGAGAACGTGTCATAACCTCGTTTTTCAAAGGCAGAATAATAATAATAGGTTGTTCATATGGTATAATCGAGACCATATATTATGTGGCCAAAACAATCGGATTGTTCCCGGTACAACTTAATTTGTAGTAACTAGCTGGAATACATTACCTAGGAGGTAGTCATGATATATCATTTTTGATCTAGATATATAGGTAATTATCCATACCAGAGTATAGTAAGTAGGCAGTTTATATATATATAAATCAGCATCTCAACCGTAACTTCCGTGCTTGTAATCCCCTATCATCTCATCATCTCCATCGAAAATGCCTTCTTCTCTCAACATCCCCAAGCTGCCATATTTCGCTCCCGAGAAACACCTACCCGCCCCTCTGCCCGACCCCGAATCTCTCCGGGAAGACCAATACCCGCTCGATATTCTCAGAGGGGTTCGTGTCGGCAAGCATTACCTAGCCAGGTATGGACTAGACCCCGTCGCCGGCCCCCTCGAGGCCGTAAACATGCTCCTCGTTAGCAAGTATACAAAGGTCCCTATCCCGACTGTATACGCGGCCTACTGGCACGAGCACCACGGCGTCTGGAGCTTCGTCATGGTCACGGAGTACGTTCCGGGCCACACCATCAGGGAACACGTCGGCAACGACGAGGCTCGCCTAAAGCCGCTAGTCCCTTCCATCACCGAGCAGCTTCGCCGCGCTCTCGCGCAGCTGCGGCGCATCCCGCACGCCGGCTTCTACGGCCCCGTGGGCGACGACCCGGCGCTGCGTTCCAAGCAGTTCGGGACTGCGGCCGAGGTGCGGAACGCGCGTTTCGACGAATACATACCGGAGTATCCTTACGAGCCCGACTACGAATCGAAGCGATACATGAGGAGGCGGGCGGCCGCAAAGAAGCAGTTCTGCAAGGGCCTGTCCACGGGCGATGCGCCGGTCTTCACCCACGGCAGGCTGGACATGTGGGCGATAAAAGTGCGGCCGGACGGCAACATCTGCATCACTAATTGGCGCGCTGCAGGGTTCTATCCGCCCGAGTTTGAGTATATGCGAGCCGAGAGTATGGGACAGGGTTATGAGGTGTGGAATGACATCCTGGCTGCTTTCCCCGAAAACGCCTCCGACGAGCGATACGACTTGATCGAGAATATATTCCACGAGTATGAGGATATGATGGAGGTTAAGCATAAACGTATAATGGAAGAGTTGGGTGAAACGGGATTGTCTTAGTACTATGATCTTTATTAGTGTTTGAAGCAGAGAATATATTTAGAGGTTATTGTAGTATATTAACTCAACCTAAATCATCTATACTGCCCAGTATTCACATCTAAGCCACATACTCAACAGTACTAACAGCTCATACAGATAATCCTCAGAGCAGATAGATTACCAATATGAATATACTAATGTTATGCTAACGCCCAAAGAACCTATCAATCATAGCCCGGGCAATGAGTGATTGAACAACAGTCTAGCTAGGTGCCTAATCTCGTAGAGGTGCAACATCAATTTGTCCGCCCGTCTATCATGCATTATTCGTGACGTGTCCCATGCAAGATTGGCGCGTAAGGAAGGAGGTAGTAAAAAGGGGGTTCGAGATATATCCGTACTCCGCGCCGAAAAAAACAATGCTAGTTCCCAATTAACCAGAAAACCACCATCATCGTTTGTATTTCTGTAACCTCGTTAGCATAAAAGAGAACATACGCACGGCTAGGTATTGGACAAGGTATTGTGGGCTTATGTGGGCTTATGTGGGCTTACCTCCTCTATCCTTCTCCTATTCTGAGGGTCCAATGCATTCGTAGCTCCCATAAGAGTCTGTCCGATCGCCTTACTTGAGCCGATGAGGGGTCTAAAAACAATTGTTGGCGCTCGTCTGAGAATGGCCTTAGCCGCTCCTTGAGCGCTTTGGCTCTCCATCACCTCAGCGGGGACCGCTATGATTGCGTCCCTCGTCATATTGAGATCGCGTCTTAGACTTGCATATGCGCCCCTCATTCCTTGGAGAACCCCTGTTGGCTGATCAGCATAGAGGCTAATCTGCTTGGGTTCTTCCGCATCTGCGTCTTCGTCATCCCATCCCGCGACCTGGTGAGGTTGTGGCTGCTTGACTAGCATACCCTCCGCACCTTGTAGAGCGTACTGCGTACCAACAGCCAACTTGGCTCCGAGTTTAACTATCTCCGTGCCTGTTGTCTTGGCAAACGCTATAGCACCTTTGCTGATGCTGCGGACTATCCTGCCGTCTTTTTTGTACTCCCTGATTGGTACCTCGATGAGATCTTTGAATCCGCTTCCGACGTTGACTAGGGAACGGACAGGCGCAAGACCGGCGAGCACCCCGGGAAGCTGATTCCTTTTGACATCAGGCATCCAGATGTCGTTCAGCGTCTTTCCGAGCCTATCGAACCCTAAGACACCGTATATAATGGTATGCCTTAAAACCATCCGTGATTGATCTAAGACTAGGAAATTCATGAATTCAGTCGTATGACCCGATCGTAGGCCTGCATAATCGACACGCTTTGGTTTAAAGTCGAGGTTCAAGGGTATTGAGTTTATCTCGGCTCTTTGCACAAAGGGAATATCGCTGGGCGAGGCGTGAATCGGAGTAGAATCGTCCTTAAACTCGAAGAACCGTGTGATGAAATCTAAAGCATCCTGGTCAACATGGAGGCGAAGTGGTAGAACTGTAGCCTTTAGAACAATCTCGGATGCCGCCAAATCTGCAACTGGTTTGACGTTCAATATTTCTAGGTGAACCATGCTGGTACCCATCTCCCGTTCTCCGGCATCTTGATCGTAAGTTGCGAACTTCTTCCAGGTCGACGTCGGCACAAGGTCGAAAACATCAAGATCTCGGATTCGAACATCGATTGAGCTCTGCGTCTCACCGGAACCGGGAGGGAACGTGACTAGATCTAAGTTGATACCCTTCAACTCGAAGGTGATCTTATGTCGCTTGCTGCGGTTAAGTTTGAGCTTCCTTTTATTTCGATAAGCATTCCCCTGCCGGCTAGGTGTAGCAGTCATCGCTGTCGTTGCAATCGACTCGGTTTCGGTGGCGGCGTCGTTCAACTCTTGGTTGATAGCGTGCGTGAGTTCCCGGGGGTCTCGATTTGCGGGAATACCTATGTATATCGAGTTAAACAAAAAGTCTCCGATCTCAGTTTCTTCTTCTATTAGCTCCATATCGGTGCTTGCGCGAGCGCGATCGTGATGCAATTGCCGCTCGATTGCTGTGGACTCGATGTTGTGCACAACCTTTGAAATAACTTCACGAGTACGGTTCCAATCATAGCCGTCAAAGAGGTTCCATATGACATGGACATCACGTACACGGACGGATAGAGGGCTGCGTTGAATCTTCTTATCGTTGCCTTCGTCGTATGCATTTTTTGCCGAGTTCCAACGGTGAGCAGTACCTTGTATCACGGATCCTGAACCAAAATAGTTCTCATGGATGACCAGATCATCGTCGTCATCCATCATGTCTGGTAGGCTGCTGAAATTTGTGAGCAGGACACCGTCAGTTGTATCTTGTGTTCCCGTCCTATCCGAGATCATGGAGCCTGTTGCCTCAAAAAGCTTGGCTTCAACTGAAGACTCATCATAAAAACGCGAGTCGACGGCGAGGGGACTTGATTGGCCGGAATCTCCAAGGTCAAAGTCGCTATCAGTTTCGTCAAGTTCTGGAGCTAATCCAAAGTCTTTATCGAAATCATAGTCGCCTTCGGCCTTACCAAACGCATCGGCAGATATAGAAGCGAGTAGGTCCTCAACGGGTACAACTTTTGTTCTATATTTAATCTCTTTGCTAGGGGGTGTCGGAGGGGCAAGTGCATTAGCAAGAGCAATCAGAGTTTGAGTAGAGTCTGCGCATGTTTCAAGGACAAGAAGATCATCTCGCAATTCGACGTCGATCCATTTATTTCCATCTTTCTGGTTGGCGCCGACTTGAATCGCGATCCTTGCCGAAGAAATATAGCAAATATCCACGTAGCCCCGTTGGCATAACTCTACTACTTGCGGAGAGGGGGTGTTTGAGCTACGTCGTCGAGCAGATGATGCTGAGTCCTTGGATTCCAGTATCGAAACGTCATCGATAAGAAGAATCGATGCCTTATTCAGATGGCCCAGAGCTTTTGCATCATCCCCATTAGACAAGGCGATTTCAAAGTGAGCATCGGTCAATACAATCGTCATCTTCGACTTCAGTCCGAGTGGATTTAAGCCTAGTAAACAATCTCTGAAGACGAAGTCTACTTTTGTCGGCTTTCCATCTTTACCCTTGTTCTCGTTTGGAACTGGCGAGCAGTTTTGTGGCTTTCCGGTAATGGCTGCGTGTGCGTGTTCGCCTAAGTTTGCTACTGAAGCAGCCAGACTTGCCTCAAAATCTTGCGGAGTAGTATCTTCAGCAAGCCCGAGGATATCCATAATGGTTGGCACACGATACTCGATATTGATATTCCGCATCCTAATCTTGACAACGGGCTCCATCTCATCCCCAATAACCCTCATGGTCAAGATAGGCCCATAACCTACTTTATCGAAAGATGATAAGGTTGTACCGACTAATTCCTCGGTATGGTTCCGGATGATTGAAATAGAGCCTACCCCGAGAGCGATCAAAGAGGGGACGGTAATATGGCCAATTTCCGCGTCCTTCAGGGAAGCTTGTATAGAGCCGAATTTCCTATCAATATCCACTGTCACATCTAAGTTACGGACAAGAACCAGAGTGAGTATACCTGGCCGATCATCTTCGGGTAAGTACTTAGCAACAGTAGAGAGTCGCGCAACCTCTTCACCCAGTGTAGGTAGTACTTCAAGTTGCTGGATCTTGCTGACATTAACTTCAATGCCATCCACATTGACGCGTAATACAGCGCCTTTCCTTCTCTGTCGAAGTAGAGTATCAACCATGATTTCGTCGTCATTTTGGTCGAATTTATACTTGGATGGTATAATAAGCTCCAAGAGTCTTTCCAGGTCATTGTCTTTTGGTGTCATGAGATATTCGAGTCGAGTATTCGTAACCACGACATTAATAGGAGGGTCGCCCATGGAACTTCTCATGTATGGGCCTGCAACGTGTATCTTGGAGATACCAATACCGACCCCTTCTTCTCGACTAACCAACTTTACAGCACTCGTGTCTAGGGATACGCTACACTCCTTTCCGACGATATCTAAACGGAAACCGCCTAGTCTCATGTTCATTTTATTCTCGGAGCTTGCGGATACGTCGTCTGGACGTATAGGCGCATCAAACCTTACCCCACGAGCTTTTGGTGGCGGCTTTACGGGAACCCGAGGAGTAGGAGGAGAACTTGAAGTCATCGATGAACTCATATTCAAGAAACCACTCAAGCCTCCGAACCAACTAAACGTCTCATCTAGCCGTTGAAGGTCTATCTTGACATGAAGCGGTAGGGTAGTAACCTCGCATTTTGTGGTTGTGGGGGATTGACTAAATTTAATGGATATGTCGGAACCGGCGGGAGGAAATGCATCATTCACGGAGGCCCGCATTTGTATGCGTTGATCGAAGGAGATGATATCGTCGTTTCCATACCCGAACTTGAACTTACCTACATCTACTGAGGTCTTAGTTGAGGTCGAAGAGCCTGAAATATCCACGTTCAAGTTCTCGATAGACATAGTAAGAAGAGTATCGGCGCTGAATGAAGCGGGGTCAGGGTTAAATAATCGATCAGGGGTGTCTGTGATTCCGGCTAGATTCTCTAGAAAATGTACAGTAATCTGTTCTGTAACAATTTTTATGTCAGGCGTGAGCGAGGTCTCATTTTTACTTTCAGATTTTCCCTTCTGCTTAGAAGCGGGAGCTGGGGGCTGCTCTTTCAAAGCCGAAAGTATCCGCGATACTACTTTGGACAACAAGAACCCAGTTGAAAGGTCGCAACGCACGTCTAGGGATGATATTATCACCTCTAACGTTTTGTCTAAGGGTGTTTTGGGGGGCTGTACACCAATTGTCGAGGCTATCGACGCCGTTGACTGGTGGCCTGAGTAGATAGAGAAAGCTCCTGGGAGATTTGGAGAAATAGATCGGTCGAGGTGACGTCGAGTCGCCCCTGAAACCGGTTCCTCGCTAGCATATGTTACCTGTACATGTTGATGACTTGAAGGAATGTAGAGTGAGATGGTACTCAATGAAACAAGTTCTTTGATTAATCTTGGCCCTTTCGGTGTTGCGACCTCTCCCGCTGGAGCATCTGGGTGGTCGTCATATGACTGTTTTGCTTCCTCGAGGTTGTCGATTACAGAGTTAGGATCTAGCTCAGAGTCTATTAATGAGTCTTTACTTGGCGGGGAGATGCGACTGCTTGTGGGAGACTGTTGAGATACGGCGACTGTAGGTTCTAGGGAATGTGAAGGCGGCGATCGGAATCTGCGCTTCGGCTTTGGCGAGTTTTCTGCACTTGAGGAATCCGAATCCCAACCGCCAGGCATAGTTTGAGCAGCCTGACCCTCTTGGGAAGACGAGGCCTGGGAGAAGGCACTCATATACATGCTCTCGGCTTCCTCGTGACTGAATAGATGTGATTGGGATAGGTCTTCACTTAAAGAAGTTATCTCGCCACTTTCGCCTGAATAACGGGGCCGGTCTTTAGTGCTTCCTGACGACTCGATAGAACCCTGGCCCCATTTTCCTCGATGTTCTAGGGCTGGTTCAGACTGCACAATGCGTGCCGAAGATGACCAATGATCTGGTGGCGCATTAATAGATGACCGAGCTGAATGTATGGAAGAAATCGACTTTGGCTCGTCCTCTTGAAAGGTTTGAGGCGCCAGAGCTCGCGGTGTTGATGGCGCAGATGCTGATTCTTCGTCGTGCCCATCGCTTGATCCACTCAAGTCATACGGTATATTGAAAGCATCCTCGGAATCCATCAGTGGATGACGATGCCCACTTTGTTCAAGGTCGTCAGCGTCAGAGCGCAAATCTGACGTAACCGTCGGCTTCGGAATAGGTTCGTTGGACACACTCTGATGCTGAGTGACCGCCGGTGAATCAGTTGCAAGAGAGGAGGGTATTGATGGCGATCGTGCCAGAGTTGAGAAGACGTTCGCTTCAGAGATCAAGCTCGCTCGAATTTTATTCAAACCCACGTATCGCTTCCCTTCCTTATAGGCAATTTTGGGTTGCCCCTCCTTCATAGTTTCATCTGCTGCGGTTGTGACCCCCTCTACATTCACTTCATCGACCGCTAGCTGGAACGTAACTAATTCGGAAACGGATATATTAGGTTCAGGTGGAACTTCGACGTCTAGGTGAAAGGTGACACCCTTAATAGAGACCTGTAGCCGATCAAGTATACCTTGCAGGAAGTCTGCGAGGAATGTGGGGAGGGAAAGAGGTTGTCCAGTTCCCAGCGAGTAGTCTTCATCACTTCCATCTTCGCTACTTAATATGGAAGCACCAAGATCCTGAGTTTCGGCTTGGAGCGCAGCTTGAAGTTCTGCCTTATCTTTTGATGGCTGCGTCTCTAAGAACGACTGTGCTAAGTCGATAGCATGCGGGACGGGGTCACTTTCTTCAGATGATGCAGAGCTCTTTTTCCCATGCGCAGCACCTTTCGGCGCCTTTTTAAGGCTATCGTCTCGGGAAGTAAGCCTCAGCTTTATCTCGACGCCGTCAATTTCGACAGTGATAGGACTCGCATATATAGCAGAAGGTATGGTGATTCGGAGCAGTAGCACTTTAGCTTTCTGTATCTCAAACGACGGTGGAAGCTGTAGCAACTGTTCTAATTTCTATATTCGGATATGTTAGCTCTATATACTAGAACTTTTAAAAATGCTACTATATGGGAAATCGAGACGTGCCTGAAGCTTAATCCCGACATTTTGCAATGTGAAGACGTTGTTCTTCCCCATGGCAAGGTCTAAGTTGTCCATGTCCAAGGCATCGGTATCAAGGTAATCTAGCTTCGATAGAGTGTATCGGAGCAGCCGCTTGGGCATGCTAGAACTCCAGAAGGAGTTGAAGAATGCCATGTTGATAGGGTTGACGATATCGGAACTACGAGAACTGAGCTAATACTAGAAGTCTGAAGATGAGGCCGATGAGGCCTTCACCGACGCGCGGATGGCGCGTGGGGAGGTTGAAATGGAGTATCACGATATCCCACGACTTGGGATGCGGGGTGGTAGTTCATCGTTGGCGGCACTGACGGCGTGGTTCAGTAACCATTAGATAGGGATATGCTTAGATGGAAGGATGAGGGCACTGTGTCTATTAGGATGATGATGACTCTTGAGAAGCATGTCCTACCGACGATGCAGCTAAAAGATATGCTGAGGTGTGACTGTTGTTAATCTAGTTTGGGTCTGGGTCTGGGTCTGGGTTTGCAGAGTGGAAGTGATGGGGAAGGGGGATGGTGTATGTATTAGCAGCACTGACATAAGGTGTACCTCTAAAAGTCACTTTCAAGGATGAGGTGCAGCGCGCAGCAGAGAGTGTCATTTGATCCGCTTTATTCAGTATGCCTATCAGTTTCACTATCGATTGCCACGATAACAGCACCATTCTACCTAGAATGGTGCCTAGTGTATAGTACCTCCTGCTACCATTACGCTAAATCACGACGTATCAATGGCCCCCCTGATATCCCCCGGCTGCAATGTGACTTACTAGAATGCTCTCCACTAGATGTGGGGGTGCATTAGGCAGCTGACCACCCCGTCCTTTAATATTTCAGTATGTACATGTCCTAAATAAACTTGTCATTTGTGCCGTGTCTGCATCGCCTGTTTTGCCTTTTTTACCACGCTTCGCTCTTAAACTTTAAACTAGGCATCAATGACTTACACGGTCAGTAAGATAACGAATTACTCATCATCCAACCGTGATTCTGTAAAATACAAGTTTCGTATATTTTATTATAGAAATGAGCTACGACAATAACAGCTATTGTAAGTATAATAGGTACTCGGACTAATAATTGCCCTTGTCTTTGATAGCTAACAGTGAATAAGGTACCTAAGGTAAGCTGAATAAAGCTGAGCCTTAAGGGTCCTCTTGGCAATCAAGTGGCTCAAGCCTCCCCAATTCAAATCTAAGTCGAGAACTCACTCTACCGATTTTAATTCTTTAATTCTTTAATGAGCACACTTTCTTCGACATAGAAAGCATAGCGGCCACAATATGGTCTGGAATTCTAGTTTGAAACATAGCACGGTGATCGTATAAATGTTAGCTAGGTATTCATTCGTTTCATTTCGGTCTGAGTCTTTAACTTTTAAGGATTCCCTACTGAATCCCATAATTTACACACACTAGGCGGGTAGATTTATACTGCATGGTAATGACCGTCTCCTTTTCTGTCGAACTGAGTCGACCCCTCTTCACTCTTAATAGGTACTATTGCGTGGACCTTCACATGAATGGTGGAAGCTTGATGGGGTAGCCGCCATTCTTAATCCGAAAGACAGAGAGTAGGAAGCTGTACATAAGGACCATAATAACACCCCAAACAACAACAGTGAGTTGCTGGATCTTTGGGTCTCGAGTCCTCGGTGCTTTGACGGCTAGGGAGATTGTAGCAAAAGATAATACACCATCTGGTCACGTTAGCAAGTCGACAGCAACGCCAAGTCAATATACTCCGCAATACTTACATATGAAAGCAACAATTTGTGTTTCGAGTCCAAATTGGCTTTGGAATCCGGCAGCGAAGTAGTTGATGCCGCCACGTCCATCGCCGGCGACATATGGTACCTTTCGAATCTGGTTGAACATGTGACCACTGGTGAACATAAGAATGCCGATCAAGCTCAGGCCTGCCCAGACGTTTCGATTCTGAATGACGGGCAATATATACGGCCAAGCGTTGAAAACAACGCCAATAACGCCTAGGCTACTGACGATTGTTACGATCCACCCGATGTAATTAATTGGCCGGCTCACCGGCGGGTGAGGACGATCAGGGAGATGGCGAGCAAGCCATTCGTGAACTTTCTCAGCAGTTTGAGGCCTGTAAACATGTTAGAGCGGAGTGGTCATACATCAGCAAAGTTACCTACCCAGTGAAATCATAGCGAATAGCTTCGACAGTAGGGACAGCATGTGTACCAGTCGTGGGCTGGAAAAGGAGAAGTACAGGTGCTGATTGAAGGCCGAGCTATATTTGTGTAATGGTCAGCCCCCAGAATTACACATGGTCGTTGCAAGGTCACATACAGATATGAAAGTATCCCTTCCGTTGGAGAAGTCAAGGGTACCGAAGATCAAACGAGATTCGCCATCTTTATCACCCTTGGTCCAACTCTTTGCTAGCACCTCCCACTCGGGTTGGAAGTCTGTGCAGAGCTGACAACCAAAGCGCGCATCTAAAGCAGTCAAGAGTACGGCAACCGAATAGTCCCGCGGAACTGATGTGAGCTTTTTGTAGGACGAGTCAGCAAGCTTCAATGGGGAAGAAGCTTGAGCTTTAGCATGGAATTCACTGAATCGATCGACTGAGGATGATTGCTTGGCAGCGAGCGACCCGAAAGGAAGGGTGACCGAGAAGAGGAGAGATAGCCAGCGCATTTTGACGATATTCTTCTGAAGACCTCATAAAGGAGAGACGGTCTGGTTTTGAGAAGGTCGTGCTTACGCACACTTGACGATTGGGAATAATGTCGACGTTAGGTACCAGATACGCCAGGTATACGCTAGGTCACCAACTGGAAGCTTTGGAGTTCAAAAAGGTGTCCTCAATTGGAGTTTGGAGCTCGATTAGAGGTACGTAAGTACATATGCTCTGTTCTTAGTAACAAATACGAATCGATAAGGACGAGTTAGGGAATCAAATGCAGGGGCCGCGCGTATGTCGAACAAAAGCTGCATCATCAATGTACATGGGTAGGTACGTACATGCCCAGATCCGTATTGATACGGGCCGACGTAGACCCGTACCCTAATCCTATTTCAGCACTTTGTTGACTTCCGAAACTTCCAAGGTTGCCAACCAAACACGTCCATTCGTTGCTCCTCTACTACGTAGTACCTCCGTCACCTCACCTCCTCTTTCGTATTCAAGATAGAACACCCCTCCCATCAGCGCTACATATATCCCCAAGATACTAATAATTAGATCTTGCTAGGACATTGGCTTAATTTACTCTTCAAATTTGATTTTCTTTAGACACCAAAACGCGTCTACCTAAATGGGTAGGCTTGTTAAGGCTACAATGGGTAGTGAGGTGAAAGTAAACATGGACACCGACAAGGTATTCTAACCCCTCAACTCTAAATATATCCCAGCGTTCAACCCTATTAGTTATCTGGCTGTTGTGTCGACTGTTTCTGACTTCCATTACTTCAATCAGCGGCGAGAACAACTTCATGACCTTGAGTTAAAGCACCAGATAAACAATAGCAATGTCGAACTCTCAGTCAAAGACGAAGATGTTCGTCGGTTAAGAGTCCGGATACTAGTGCTACGAGACGAGAACACAACATTGCGTGATCAAATAGCTCATAACAACGATGCAAACACCAAACTCTCGGCCCAATGCGATGATCTGAGTGCTCAGATTGAAGCTAAGATGGACGTAATTCGCTCTCAGGAAAAGCAATTACGGAAACAAGAACGAGAGTACTCGAATTTGAAGGTAAATAAATGCACGAATTCTAATAATGAATTGACCCAGTACTAATCTTGGGTTATAGGCCGAGCTCCAAGCAATGAATAATGCAACACAAGATTCAGCCAATGTGCTCGCTGAGAAACTATCTCTAAGTCGAGAGTTAGCTATTCTAAAACCCGAGATTGAACACCTCCGATCACAAGTAAATCACCAGCAAGCAACGCTGGCTGAGAAGCTAGCACTAGAGCGACAAGTTACTACTCTTGAGGTAGAACTTGCGAATGAAAAGAAGGCAACCAAAAGAGTAATGCAGAAACGTGAAAGCAACGACCGGGTCGAGGATGAGCTCCGCCAAAAGCTACGCGAAACGGAGAAGAAATTAACTGCCGAGAAGGCGGAGCGTGAGCGACTTGAAGATCAGCTTGAGCAAGAAAAACGGACACATCAAATTTCCTTGCAGGAACAAGATAGTACTCGAGAGCTGGAAGCTGACCTTCGAAAGAAGCTCCAGGAAGCCCAGCGGCAGCTAAGACAGGAGAAAGACGACCGGGAAAGGTTAGAAGAAGAGCTGCAGAATACTAAACTTGCGGCAAAAAAGACACAGAAGAACAACTCAAAGAGCAATGTAGAGGACGAATTACGCTCCCAAGTTGAGGAACTTGAAGCGAATCTCGAGTCCCAACGGAAGGAGAGCGCTAGGATTCGCCGAGAGAGTCAGGAATTAGTATCTGAAGCCAGTGCGCGAAGTGACCAGCTGGAAAAGAAAGTTGAAAAATTCAAGACGAAACTACGCGAGACTCAGGAACAGCTCAAGCAATGTCAGGCGGATTTACGAAAGGCACAACAATCGCGCCCTGCAATCTCGGACGACACCGCCAAAGCTAACGGGCGACCACAGGCTTTCCGTAAGAGAAAAGCCCAAGACATGGCTGCGGATGAATTCACCCAGATTGAAATCCAAACACCAGGAGCCGATGATACCACAAAAGGGCGGCGCGCGTTCAAGAAGCGAGGTATAGAGCCTACTCTTGTAGGCGAGAAATCGATGTTCTCCATTACCCCCTTCTTAAACCGCACCAAGAGTATCATCGAAGATACTCCTAAGACCGACGAAGGAACGCCAAATGCTTCAGTCACTGTTACGACCGAACCAGAAGCCGCCGAACCCACGACAGTGGCATCTGAAGGCACAGCGGCAAAAGTGGCTCGGGAAGAAACGACGTCTCCAGCCCCTGCCGAAAGCGAGAAGCCACAGCCAAGCACCAAGTCTCGTGGCAGACCTAAAAAGGTTCTCGGTGAAGCCCCATCTGCGAAGAAAAATGCACAGCCTATTTCGAAGAAGTCCGTCAAGACCAAGAGTAGTCTTGAGAAGGTAGTGGAAGAATCTGATGAGAAGGCGCAAGAGAACCAGCGCGATGCCATAGAACCCGCAGAGAAGACAACAACTGTTAAGTTCAATTTTAGTCTCCCGCAGGAGGAAAACACGTCATCCGGCGTGAATGGCGATCTACCGAAGAAGAAGAAGCGCAAGGTCTTGGGCTCAACCAAGACGCTATTTGACGAAGAGGAGGGAGAAGCACCGTCGACCAGGAAGCCGAGCAAAGTCCAGCTGGGTGGAAAGAGGGCACTAAGCAAAGCCGTTCTTGGTGTGCAGAAAAGTGCATTTGCCGGTGCAACTTCATTCTCGCCTTTGAAGAGGGATCGTAGAGGAGTCGGTGCCAGTTTCCTGGCATAACGTACGGGTCCTAGGTTTAGAGTAACGGAATTTCAAACTGGCAACGGGAGGGAATCAAGTCTGCATTTGCCGGCGTTATAAATTGTTCGCATCATGGCTTGGCGTTTGGCAATGGTTATAGGGATAGGTTTACGGTTGCATCATTAGGTCAATATGAATACACTTATTCTAAGAATAAGTAACATGCACTTCCCCATGAGAAACATTATATTGAGGGTAGACATTCATTTTCGTGAAACTCGATTGCACATAGCGGCATAAGTCGTGAGAATTAAGAAGCAGCCTGATTTACAAATCCGACGCCACAGTCGATTTTTTTTTCGGAAGACATTGATAGGCTGATAGGTAGGTACGGTAGATATAACCCTCTATTCTATCTACGCGGCCTTCGACTTCTTCCAGGTTCCCTTAACGCCGCTCTCGATCATGACGAGTCTATCCTCCCTCCAGTTCCAAACTGAAACGATCGCAGTACCCGGGCCGGCTACAAGCGTAACAAATACAATGCCTAGTGCTGTCTTGATTAAGTCCATGGTAGTAGGTTTGCTGAGTATCCGCAGGACATCGTAAACGGCGAGCCAGCACCAGAACAGCGTGGAGCCGAACGCACCGATGAAGTCGATCTGGAAAATGTAGTGCAGTCCCAAGCCCATGCTGTCTTTCCAAGTAGTTCTATTCGGCAGGAACACATAGCTGAGCGAAAGCCTCGGATCGTTCGACGTGAGACAGGCGTAAAGCGTGCCAACGTGCGCAACTGTTGTTACAAGCCCGACGATCAGGTACACCCGCTTGAGGTGCTTGACATCACCATTCTTGGCGACCGATGTTGGCGATGAAGATCCTAGGAAAGAGAAAATCGGGACTAACACGATGGCGTAAATAGGGGCGGGCTGCCAGAATGCCGTCAGGTACTGCACCGTCTTGACGTCTGTCCACAGGTGGTACATGGCGACCGTCGGGATAAGGTATCCAATGATAATAGCCGGGAGCAGCGACGCCGCATGGCCAGCGGATAACTCTCGGCCCTGGAAGTAGTATCCATCCCGTCGAGACGTCACCACGTATGCTAAGTAATACAGAGGCGCGATTACGGCTGCACCAAGGACCTGGTATAGAAACGAAGTAATCCCAATACTAACCCCGATCTCCGTAAGCAAAGCCCGATATATCACTCACAATAACAGCAGTAAACGAAAAGGGGGGATGAACAGAAGAAACCACAGGTAACAACTTACAAACTGACAGCCGTCCAAGCATTCCGTCTGCGACTAGCCTCCACACCCCAGACACACACGACAGCAACCCATTCGAATAAGAAATACTCCTGCAGGGTATACGCACCGACGTCCCAGCGCGCGGTGCCCTCGAGGAACGCAATGACGAGGTACCTGGCGAGCTCATCAACAACCTTGATGCCCGTGTAGCTGTCCTCGACAAGGATGCCATTGTCGAAACGGCCCCCCAGCACGACGACGTCGAAGTTTGGAGGCACACCGTTTACGATGGTCTCCACGCGCATCAGCCATGTGAACAGGACGGATAGGCCCGCGAAGGCGAGTGCGAAGAGCCCGGTGAGCGGACGCCGGGTTTGGGGGACGACGACGGGCTTGGAGGGCCCGCGGGGAGGTAGGTTTGTTCGTACCATGATGAGGTTGTACTAGAGACTAGAGACGAACGGTATAATACAAAGCTAAGCTGGGGGTGTAGGCTTGCAATTATATAGGCATCTAGGAATTCCGAGGTTTTAAAACTTCGGGGTTACCTAGAGGTAGACGGGAAGCCAGCTACTAGGTTAATATATATTTGTGGACAACCCTGCTACATAGGTGGTATGTATATGCTGGAGTTCGGGTCTTTGTCGGAATCCTTCTCATTGCCAGGTGTTTTATTTTATTTTATTTTTTTTTTCCCGTAAGCTGAAATGTTAGTGGTTCTCATCACTGGAGAATTCGGGATAGAGAGCTGAAAGCCGCGGGTTAATCTACAAATGTCCATAGTTACTTTACCCATGTACTCATTTACCTCAGTTGTACATGTGTAACCTAGTTCAAATCAGACAACTTGGATTATATGTACGATTACATCAGGAGTAAGAAGATGTTTGTTTATATCTGTTAAGAGAATACATCTGTTAACCAGGTAACTGATGTCATATGTACCAATCCGAACCCGCGTTTTCGTTTTCGTATAATTGAATAACCATGGATCGCGAATTTTCCTAATTGGCAACCCATACGTAGTAAATCCTGGCACAGCATCGGTCCTTTGAGGTTACGCCGGAGTACGGGATAATTATCGTCGCCAACTAGACATGGGATAGCGCACTATCGCTGTTACCTAAAATCCAAAGCGTCAATGCAGGCGTTGGCAAGAATAGCGACGCCTCGCAATGGAAGGCTCCTAGGAGCTATAGCTACCCGATCTTCTGGAGTCCTGAGCCTCTTTGCGCAACCCGCGTCTAAGTGTATACGATGGTCCTCGTCAAACTCAAGATGGTTACAACGACAGGGGAACGACTATTACCGACGTCAGGCCCTAGTTCAGAATTATAGAGGCCGTGCTGCGTTTAAACTGCTTAGTGTGAGTTGGTGGCTCAATCTCGACGTGTATTGATCGAAGCTGACATGAGCTTCCCCAGATGGACACAAAGTACAAGTTGTTCAAAAGAGGACAGACAGTAATCGACCTAGTGAGTACCTGGTTTAGCACCCGGTGTAGCTCAGGATACTAAGTAATATAGGGATATGCACCAGGTAGCTGGTCTCAGGTAGGAAAGCTACAAATCTTTATACTACTCATCATTAGTTTGCTCATTGACTCCAGGTCGCATTGGACCGCACAAAGCCGAAAGGGCGTATTGTTGGAATCGATATCATCCCGGCGCAGCCCCCCAAGGGCGTGTCAACTATCCAAGGCGATTTCCTCTCTCCAAGTATTCAACAGCTTGTGAAGGATTACCTCATCGAATATCCGCAACGGCCGGGCTCATCTGAATCCGACGGTGAAGATTTAGAGGAGGAAGGTGTTATTATGGATAGACCAAGCTACATCGATGTCGAACGTGCTGAATCACACGAACCGGACCACGAACTATCCTCCCAGGATAGCGAGAGACTTGTTGATGTACGCATTACTCCGTTTGCTCGGGGCGTACTTACTTCTACGTGTTTGAATCCGCAAGGCTGACTCTGCAACTAACAGGTAGTTTTAAGCGACATGTCAGAACCTTGGCCACAAACCAGCGGATTTTCGATCAGGACGTTAACCCACGCGTATAGGATGATGAACACGAGTGGTATGCGCTTCCGAGACCACGCAGGTAGCATGGTGAGTTTATATTCTTCCCTGCATTCCATTATGTGACATCCGTTTTTTGTGAGTGGATATTCACCGAGATTCCTAGGACCTCTGCCATGCAGCTCTACAATTCGCAAGCGACACACTCAAGGCTGACGGTCATTTCGTCTGTAAATTCTACCAAGGCTCCGAAGACAAGGAACTTGAGAAGAAGCTCAGGAAAATGTTCCACAAGGTCCATCGCGAGAAGCCGGATTCGTCAAGAGATGTATGTTCTCCATACCTAGTGTATACTTGCTCTTGATGCTAATAAGTTGCATAGGAATCGCCTGAGATGTATTTTGTTGCTCTGCGCAGGAAAGGCGACGTTACGCTCTCTAGTATCGAAGGCCATTAGACGGCCGAAGCTGGGATCGTTGTATATATATAATACGTGTATTATCTATGTATCAAGTTTAAGTTGCTCACATAACTATAGGCAATATTCTAAGGACTTTCACGTAAACACTGTTTGCTCGGCATTTATTGTTCACGGTGTTGTCTTTGGGGCTTCTTCTTATGCTGTCATAAAGGGGTACTTAAATGTGGCATTTTAGCTAACTAAAGGACAGTGACTCCAAGAAGACTAAGAGGTCCCAATATAGGATGGCGAGTGACCTTTGTCGATCCTTTTCCGAGAATACCATCCTCACATCACAACATCCACTATTCTCGTTCCTCGAACTATGCCAGAGCTTACCCCTATCTAGCAGCAGAACCCGGGGATGTTTCCCATATCCTGCCCGTAAGTTACATTTCCCGGAGGCAAGCAGAGCGAAGCGCTTGCATTGGTTTCTATCACGTTCACGCCGAAGAACGTCCCTTCTGGCGTTAATTAAGAAGTAAACTCCATAGTGGCTTCGAAACATACCATTAATGCACTGGCAGACTGCCCTGTCAACGCAGCAATGCGGATCCTCGAATGGAAAGCACTCAATACCGGCCGCGAATGCGGCTGTGATATTAGGGAATGGCGACCTCGGGAATTTTACAGGTGGTCTCGCAAGCGCAACGCCAAAAGTTGAAGCTGTAACCATACTCAAGAGAGTGAACGGAACCATCTTGATTCCTTGTGATTTTTGAATCGGACGAATTGTCGAAGCGAGAGTTTTTTCTTCTTCTTTTTTCTTGCTGAACTATGCGAGCGGTAGGATTACTAGGAAAATAGTCTTTTCGAGTCTAGGAATATTTCTACGAGAAGCGACTGCTAATGTCATACGTCACACAACTGCGTCCCCTCGGTCTTTCCAGGACAAGATTGCGGGACCATAGGAAAGCGGCTGTAACTAGGGAAGCTGCTTTATACCTAGATCTCATCCCACCCTCGCTTACCAAAGTTTTTCACGGAAAGAGAGAAAGGTGAGACTGCCCTTGAAGTTCCTTGAAGTTTACTGAGGGTGGAAGTCGTATCCAGGCCTCGACGTCTTACCTGCGAACGTCTATCCAAGGTAGGTATTATGTATTCTCATACTATTTCCAGAAGATGCCCGTCTTTTACCAATGACACTCTACTTCATACTAACTCTGTACAAACACCAAACTTCAATTCTTTCGTTTTTAAGCGTTTCTTTCGTTGCCACTCTCTTTGGTTTAATTTCTTGCTCTCGCTGGCCTTTTGTTGGTTATACCCTCAAACTATTGGAAATGTCTCTCGAAAAACACGCCTGGGGCTTTGATCCCGAATCCCAGGCGGCGTCCCCTGATGACCTACACGAGATCTGTCTGGATGATGACAACAAGGAACCCCGTGCCCCTTTACCGGCGGGAAGCCGACCTGAGTGTCTCAAGAATGCCGTCCACGAATGTGTGTTTGTTGCCCTTGTCGCCTTTGCTGCAGCCACACCCGTCTTCCTCCAGCGTTCTGTCGTTGTTGTAGCAGGGCCTATATCCGGAGCCCTGCAAATGACGCCGGCTCAGATTGCGTGGGCTACCGCAAGTTCGGGGTATTTCAACTCCTAGCTTAGTATTGATTAATTATGGCATTTGACTTACTGACTCGCAGTTTAACAACGGGCGCATTCTTGCTTCCATTCGGCTACATCGCCGATACTTGCCCCATTTTACCCCGGAAGACTCTTCTAATACTCAGCTTGGTGGTGTTCTGCCTGCTTGTCTCATGTACATCCTTCTCGCGGACCGGGATCGTGCTTGATATCATATCCGGCTTGACAGGTATCGCTTGTGCGGCAAACGTTCCTATTGCCGTTGGCATATTAAGTCTTGTCTACCCAACGCCATCACGCCGCAAGAATATAGTATTTTCTTCTTTCTTGATGGGCACACCTGCTGCGACGATCATCGGTGGTCTCGGTTCCGGTGCCTTGGCTCTTGAAGTCAGTTGGAAGGCCCCGTTCATAGCCTTGGCCGTACTGTATGCGGCGGTCTCAGGCCTCGCTTGCGTATTTGTCCCGAATGTCTCGGAACCCGAAGCCGAGAAGGAAACCGAGGTTCGTATCATTGCTGAGCCGGAAGCTTTTCCTATACTGTCGATCGAAGCACCCAAAGAGAAATCTAAACTCTTGCAATTTGACTGGCTAGGGTTATTTCTACTTGTCGCGGGTCTTCTCCTTTTCACTATTGCGTTATCCATCGGCCCGCAAGGCCCGGAGCCATGGAAGACACCGACAGTTATCCTACTCTTGACTTTGGGTGTACTGTCTCTTGGATGTTTCCTCCTTTGGGAAAATATTACGAAAACGCCTATGATACCCCCGTCAATTTGGGAAAACCTGACGATAACTTTGGTAAAGTCTACCTGAAACTGGGTAGCTATAAGACATTACTAACGTAGCGTGAAGGTGATCATCTGCACTTTGGCTGCTGCTATGTCTTTCTACTCTCAGCTGTTTTGGGTTTCTTTATTTATGCAAGATCTGGGAGGTCTGAAGCCGTTCGAGGTTGCCGTAAGGTTGGTACCTCAGGCTCTTGTGGGCTTGGTACTCAGCCCTCTTGTTGGTCTGATTATGCATAGAGTCCCTGGGACCGTGTTGTTAGCTGTGGCCGCTACTTCACTCGTTATTAGCAATGTACTTCTCATATTCTTACGTCAGGGAAGCAATTACTTGACCTGGATATTCCCGTCAGTCATGTTAAGTACTGTTGGAATGGATTGGATTATGAATGTTGGGTCGGTGAGTAGCTCCGTATACAGCTCCAAAACTACCTAGGCATATTATCTAACATCGTTACAGCTTTATATCTTATCATCCCTCCCACTAAAACATCACTCTGTTGGTGCTTCTCTACTCCAAACGACGAGCCGCCTCGGAGTTCCTCTCGGTATGGGAGTTACTACTGCAATATGGTCGTCGTATGATGGAGAATGGCAGGATGCCTACCCGGAACTGGCATATACCAATACTTTTATGGCTACCACGGCGTTTGCCGGAATTTCTCTCGTATTAGTGCCATTCATCCGCATCGGAAGGCAGGGTCATTCAGAACACCAACCATTAGAGGATAATAGTAATGAGCCGAAACCGAGCACTTCGGTTCCTCCCCAACCACCTACCCCGCCTCGAAACCCCCGAAATGAGAACGGAAATCGTCCAAGCAAGCGGTGGTCCCCCGTTGATACGTTAGCTGCATCAGTCACTAGCGAAAGACAACATACAACAGCTCCATCAGTGTCATCGCAATCGTCACGTAAGAGTGAAGACACATCGAACACCAACAAGACATCCAGAACAACCATTCGTCGCGGGTGTAGCCCATCCGAAAGAGTTGTCTGGGTTGTCTGTGAAGAATGTGGCACGACCAAGCGTCACAACCAACCACGTACCACCGTGGGCGACCCAGCTCGTTACTTCAACGATCCCGCATTTGGCAACACGACCAAGGATATCAACCAAACAAATCCCTACGGCGCCAACAGCAGTAACGGTAGCAAGAATCATCATCATCTTTCCCAGCTTCCGCTTCCGAGGCCGTATGGCGGACGTCGTCGTCAACCACTTATGAACCGCCAGATCTTAACACATCAGATGTTGACTCAGGGCTTCCAGCCTTGAAAGCGCTGGGGTAGAAAAATAAACTGCGTAGGGTCGGTTTTTGAATTTACTCCTGGAAATGGCTTGTGTCCACTGGAATAGAAGGGGCCTTTTTTTCTTTTCCAATTAATGAGTTGGGGTGCTTGAGGACGATATTCATAGTAGGTTTTTGATTGGGTTTAAGGACCTCTTTGGACCTTTCTTGGGAGACAGCTATTATACCCGGGGACTTATCCTTCACCTAGATGAAGCAACTAACGCGGCATGGAAAAGGATATGAAGCCTGTTCTTAAATCCCTTGTGTGTAAAATCAAAACGCATATATATGTAGCCTAGCGCCTCGCCATATTACGATAATAATTAATGCATTCTGAGGCTACAGTCAGATACACCCTGATTATCTTCATAATTAAATTTGCTCATTTAAATTTACCCTAACGCCGCGACTTATGCTGCAGCACTGTCCCATGTCTTTCCGTAGTAGTATCACATGCGTGCCTAGCTGCTTATATATACAATTGTAAGATGCCCATGTTCGATAGCACATAATCAGAATTTATAGATATCCCGAACAAATCCACATACGCTCGTCAGCCTATAACTTGGCATTGGGCATCTGGCGCATAGCTTGGCGGACACCCAGGTCAGCAAGGACCTCCTCGGCGCCGCCTAGAATAGCGTCGAACTTGTAGGTGCGGTGGAACATCTCGACGACGCGACCCATGCCGGATTGCGTCAGACCGCGGCCGCCGAAGATCTGGACGGATTCGTCGGCGATCTCGTGCGCGGCTCGGGTGATGCTCATCTTCAGCAGGCCGATGGGACCGCCGAGGTGCTGCGATTGCTGCTTGTAGGGCATGTTGCACATTTGGTAGGTGATGGTTTCGAGCCAGGCCTCTGGAAAAGGAAGGGGGTTAGTTAGTGAGATGGGAGAGGGGAGGGGGGAAGAGAGAGCGGGGTTAGGGAGGGTACGTACGGTTCGACTCGACGAGCGCAATCATCTTGGCGAGCTTCTGTCGGATCACGGGTTGCTCGATTAGCCGCTTGCCAAAGACGATGCGCTGGTGCGACCACTTGAGACACTCTTCTACGATGGTTCTGCACATCCGGATCCCGGCGCCTAGTCAGAGGGGCGCGTTAGTACGGTTTTAGGGGGGGGGGACGCAAAGAATTTAGGGGGGCGGACTACTCACAGGCCATGGTCCATCGCTCGTGGTTGAAGTTGCTGAGGATGACGTAGATACCCTTGTTCTCCTCGCCGAGGAGGTTCTCGACGGGAACCTTGACGTTGTCGAAGGTGATATAGGCGGTGCCGGCAGCAGTCGAGTACGAGGTCTTGATGGGCTTGGTCTCGACGCCCTCGCCGCGCTCGATCAGCAGGACGCTCAGGCCCTTGTCGGTCTTGACGCCGGTGACGAAGTAGTCGCAGAAAACGCCGTTGGTGATCCACTTCTTGGTGCCGTTGACGATGTAGTGCTTGCCGTCGGGGGTCTTGGTGGCGGTGGTGCGCAGGCCGGCGACGTCGGACCCGGCGAAGGCCTCGGTGATGGCGAGGCACATGTACTTCTTGCCGCCGAGGACCTCGTCCATGATGGCCTTGCGCCGCTGCGCGTCCCGCATGAAGTTCATGATGCAGGGGAGTCCGATGACCATGCCGGCTAGCTGTCCGTCTTGGAAGCCGCGCGCGTTGGACCGCACGCCTTCTTGCGACATGATCAGGTCGTGGAAGTAGTCGAATTCCTCGCCCTTGACTGCCCCGTCCATCAGGTTTACGCCGTGCAGGTGCTTCCCCGGCCCCAGCCGCATGTGCAGGATGCCCTTCTCCGCCATGCGGTCGACTAGCTCCTGGCTAATGTACTTGCCGTCGGCCTCGCGGGCCTGGGCCTCGGGGGTGATGTAAGTGTCGTTGAAGATGCGCATGGCCTTGCGCAGGCGGTGGTGGCTCTCGTTGTAGTACGGGCTCTTGAACTGGGGCGTGAGCCACAGGGGCTCGGCGTAGGGGACGGTGCTGATGTCGCCGGGCTTGGGGGTGACGACCTGGGGCTTCTCGCCCTCGAGGGTGCCGATGCATAGGTCCTCGTACTTGGTGAGGACCTCGTGACGGTGGAGGTTGTAGAAGGCGACGGTGGCGTCTTGGCCGGCAACCTGTCGGAGGACGGACTCGCCGCCGGGGTGGGCGTCGACAAAGTCGGATACGTCGTAGACTTTGCTGTCGATTACGAACCACACCGAGTCTTCGGTGTTATGCTTGGCCACCTCATCGCGGGTGAACGTCTTGGACATGGTAGCGGCGGATACGTACGGAAAAGTCGTTACGAAGGAAGGGGAGAATAGGTAGAAAGAAACCTCTAAGAATGGAAAGGAACGGAGATCAATTGATGATGATGATGCTATTCTTACAATACACGAAGCTCCGACGACAATACATACAACTTCAACAAGAATGAATTTAGCATTTTGAAAAAGGAAAGAATGGATGGCTCTTTGTCCTCTTGTTTTGACGTCAGCTTGGGGAGAACGGCGTGGTGGATCCGGGGAAAGCGATGCCTCGGCTCGGGCTCAGGTGAAGAACATGGGGTGCATAAGTGGCATCCGTCGTATGTAATAAAGATTTAATCGCTTTTGATTGGCCACTTCGGCCGCGACCCTACCGTTTACGGCTGCTGGACCGCGGATAGCTTCTGATAAGCTTAGGCGTTGCATGTGCCTAGAGTGATAGCGAGGGTTATTTGAGGGGGACTTCGGTTCGTTGTGGGCGAATAGTAGGAATGCGATTAGTCACTATAGTTTAGGTACCTACATGGTTTGAATTAAACTACTTTGACATTTGTATAGTTTTGTTTTTCATTGTCTCTGAAATATAGATTAGACTCAATGGGATTTTTCATAGTTATATGTTATATGCTCGAAAGTTCAAGCTGCGACTTAAAATTATACGAGCAATGGCCAACCCAACTTCCCTTAAAAGAGTGCAAACTACCTCCTAGGTAGACATATTTCCTCCTATATAATGTTTCTCCAAGGTTATCAGAGAAATTTATATGCAGGATATCACTTGGTTCTATAAGAGAGGCCCCTCTCTCCACTTCGACCAATCAGATACTCTACAATTAAATACTACCATGTCTAGTTCGCACTTTAGGAGATAGTAGAAGCCGAACCTATACCACCGGCTCATTCCGAATAGGCCCAGTTTCGCCGTCTTGTCGACTATAAATGGCCTTTAAGTCCGTTGTGCCGGTTGATGCGGATATAGTCGTGCTCGGCTTTAGATCAACGTATAATAGTTAAAATCCGCTGCAGAGAAGAGCTCGGAGCGACGAAACCGCCCAATGAGACCGATGAGTTTTCCCGCTAACTCCAGTAATCCAAACTATCTAGATGAAGGCACGCAGCTTTTATAGCGAGGGGGCGGAGATTACAGCACGCGAGACGCGGATGGTGTTCAACACGCAATATATCCCATCGAATTGAAGAGGCAGAATGAGAATCGCAGTGTATATATAATTTGATCTACAAAGAGAAAGAATATAGCATTATATCTACAACTAGATTGAAAGCATAGTTAGTACCTTAAAAACACCAAGACAATGGCAACCATAAAACTTCCCGAGCTTTCTGTATACCGCTACTCAAGCAATGATCCAAGCAGGCGCTTTACGGTTACGAATCCTGCCACAGGCAAGATACTCACCACAGTCCAGGGCGGAGATCCCACCACCATCGACGCAGCCGTGCGTGCCTCACAGGTAGCTTTCGAAGAGCGCTGGCGGCCCTTAACTCACGCCCAGCGGTCGGCATATCTCCTCCGCTGCGCCGACGAGCTCGAGAAGCATCTCGACGAACTCTCCACCCTAATATGCATGGAGAACGGGAAACCCTTTTTAGATGCCAAGCTATTCGACTGCGGCGTCCTCGTGCGAGCGTTCCGATTCTATGGGAGCTTGGCGGACAAATTGCCTTCCGCGTTCTACGATAGGGGCCCCCTGTATACAACTGTGATTCACGAGCCATACGGCGTGTGCGTCGGCATTCTGCCCTTCAATTGGCCACCTATCTTCGCTGGCAGCAAACCGGCGCCCGCGCTTGCGGCGGGCAATACGTTTATCTTAAAGCCAGGCGAGCAGGCGCCGCTAACGGTGCTTCGGATCGTTGAGATCCTGGAACCTATCTTGCCGAAAGACGTATTGCTGGCCGTACCAGGGTTCGGGCCTGAGATCCCGCAAGCCTTAGTGGCGCACCCACTCGTTAAGAGGGTTACCTTCACAGGGTCGACAGCCGCTGGAGCAGCGGTAGCACGGACTGCTGCCGATTCCATCACACCAGTAGCACTTGAACTAGGGGGTAAGAACGCAATGACAATTTTCGAAGATGCAGATTTCGATGCTGCGGTACGCACGACGCTCGAAGGAGCCTTCTTTAATAAGGGCGAGGCATGCACTGCCAGCTCGCGCATCCTCGTGCAGCGTGGCATCTACGACAAATTTGTCGAGAAGTTGGCCGTCGGTGTGAAGAAGATCAAGATGGGTAATGGTCTCGATCCCACGACGCACGTTGGGCCGCAGATATCCAAGGTCGCACAGCAGCGCCTGCTCGATTATATCGCCCTCGGAGTGGAAGAGGGCGCTAGGATCGTCGCGCAGGCTGAGCTGCCTTCTGATCCTGAGTGCAAAGACGGCTTCTTCATCCCTGCGACTCTCTTTGCAGATGTAACTGAGGATATGCGAATCGCTAAAGAGGAGATGTTCGGTGCCATTGGTAAGTTAATACTGAACCAGGTGTTCGGTAGGAGTTTCCTAGTTGGCTACCTCTTAACTAACATGCGTCAAATAGTGACCGTTACACCCTTCGACACTTTCGACGATGCAGTTCGCATCGCAAACTCGGTAGACTACGGCCTAACCGCTATCGTATTTACCAAGGATCAGGTGAAGGCGAATCGCTATGTTCGGGCGGTCGAGGCCGGGATGGTAAGTTGCGCATAGCGCGATGCATTTTAAAATATACACCGGTGAGAAGACTAACCACTTCGTAGGTTTGGGTAAACAACTATCATAGGAACGTGGTAGGCACACCGTTTGGTGGTGTGAAGCATTCCGGCTACGGCAGAGAGCATTGCATAGAGACGTTGTACGAATTCACTCAACCCAAGGCCGTACATTCGCCTTCTGGTATGGTCGATATTCCGGAGTGGCGTGGTGTGGTTGACATTTTTGGACACAGTGGAAGTGAAGTTGTCTAGGTTCATATTGTTTGTAAATGGGAAGATTGTTAATATAATGCCCTGAAGTAGTACGGATAAAGCTGATAAAGCTGACCCATGATAATAAAGAAACTTCCGATTGGCTCTTACGAATACTCCGATAAGTCCGGCTTCGCTTTTGTTATGTACATAGCTCCATATGTGGGATAAATACTTATCTTCATTAGAACTAGTCAACTACCTTAGTAAACTTAAACTTACATGTGCTTGCAATTGATCTTACATCCCTCACTTGTATCTATACACTCACTCTTCATACTATATTCGTAGCATCTCACGAGCTTTAAGCATTTTTCCCCTTCATCCCATACTAACCAGGTGGCTGGATGATAGCTACTAAGACTTCTCTTCCAATCTTGTCGCGGTATGTCGATTTTCATGACTCTTTCCAACCGGAGAATAACATCCTAAGACTGCAACCTTCTTCATCCCCACCCTACAAACTTCCATTACCCATCTTTTTGCTCCCCTTTTTCCGACAGTCCCGACAGCGGCAGAGATATAGTTAAATTGGTGCCTGAATGGTCCCTTGATTGAATCGTGTAGCCAATCAGATACACCGGTCTATCAGCGTGGCATTCTTAGCATTCTGCTACGTTGGTAACGTCTGCCAATCGATGACATCTGGGCTAACACCATTAGACCGCAATACATTGTCCTACTTATACATAGATAATAGGCACATGGTAGTTATTACGGTCTCAACGGTTGCGGCGCTAAGCTATACTTGAGCATCCATTACTTACAGTCTTACATGATGGTTGTGGTATAATCTTCGCATCTTCGCATTCGTTCCCTCCTCTAGACTTTATCCTATCGTGCCAAGCAAGTCTAGGTTTATTTAGGTCTATCGTTGTTCCACCCGTATAATTTCATACAAAGATATCAAAGGCTAGGCAATTGCCGACTTATGCGAGGCACCTCCCTACCTACTACCCTACCTATCCTCACCTAGTGGTAGCTTCAGCTTTGCTTAGTCGGAGTCTCCCGCTTTCTAAACTCTTTGAATTTTGATCATTCATTTTGATCATTCATCATTCAGCTATCATATACGTACCTGTCTTGTATAACTTTATCTGCAACTCCACTACATTTCCGACTCATTCTTCTATCTTAACTGTCGTGCTCGCTCACATCCTTCAACCCCTTTATTTCATCTTTTCATCATAGACTTTACTCAAACACTTCACCAATATTAACTTACCCTACTTTTTTACTTTGATATTTGATATTTGATATTCTATAGCGATCCTCAAGCGAATAAATAAGCCAAGACCTAAAACAAGTATGGATGCTTACTCGATCTCTTTCACTAGCGTTTCCCAGCGAAGCTTCTCACGGGTCTGGAGGGACCTCAAGTCCTGTCGCCAGTACAGCATCTTAGAGATGACCGAAGACGTCTCGGAGACACCAAGCTTAGGGCAGAGAATAGGAGAGGTACAATCTGACCCTAGTGAAGCTCTTGGGTTTATCATGTGAGCGAGGCACCCATCGGTGATAATTATGTACCAAATTGGCTAGATGCGGCCCAGTCTCCTCATAGTGCTAGTACTCAGATGAGTGTCCCCCTATGTCTGACACTATACTCACACGTTTAATAGCGTCGAGCGCGGAGTTCCGGACGCAAGCCTCATGTCGCAGTTATTGGTGCGGGTTTGGCTGGGCTACGTTGCGCGGATATCCTCCTTCATCATGGGTTCGAAGTAACTTTGATCGAAGGCCGAAATCGACTAGGAGGTCGTGTACACCAGTCAACCTTGCCATCAGGACACAAGGTGGATGCCGGTCCCAATTGGATCCACGGTGCCAACGAAAATCCCATCTTAGACCTTGCCAAAGAAACCAAGACTGTGGTTGGGAAGTGGGAAGAGAAAAGCTCCGTCTTTGATGAGGATGGCAAACAGGTCCCTCTGTCCGACGCCATGGTCTACTCAACGATTATGTGGGACGTCGTGGGAGCTGCGTTTGCCTATAGCAATAAGAACTCTGCAACGATAAGTCCCGATGAAAGTCTCTGGGACTTCTTCCAGAGGGAGGTCCCCAAAAGGATACCAGACAGCGATGCAAACTTCGAAAAGAAGAGAAATATTGTGTATCAGCTTGCGAGCCAATGGGGAGCATTTGTGGGAAGCCACATTTTCACGCAAAGCTTGAAGTTCTTCTGGTTGGAAGAGTGTATAGATGGCGGTGAGCTGACAAGAAAATGAGACTTCACTACAGTCCTTCGCAAGTGCTGATAAGTTGCAGAAAATCTGTTTGTTGCAGATACCTACGAAAAGATTCTCCAGCTTGTCGCAAAACCAGCCGTTGAAGGAGCAAAGATCAAATACGAGACGATCGTCGATAAAATACAGACTACCAACGACGACGGTGGGATGTTAAAAGTCCACACCGAGAGCGGGGAAAATCTGGAATTTGATGAAGTCGTTCTGACTGCACCGCTCGGCTGGTTGAAACAACATTTAGATGCCTTCGAGCCAGCCCTTCCGTCAAGATTGACCAAAGCTATCGGGAGTGTAGGATATGGCTGTCTTGAGAAGGTAATTCCTCATTGTATACCCGATGTATTCATCCGGATTTAACATTTGTGCAGACTTATATCAGCTTCCCGAAAGCATTCTGGGTCTCCGCTCAACCCAAGGATAGTAGAGTCCAGGGATTCTGCCAAATGCTTGCCCCAAACTATGCGACCGAGTCGAATCCACGCAAGTGGAATCAAGAATTTGTCGAATTGGCTTCTCTGGATCCCTCCGCGGCCCATCCAACACTTCTTTATTATTTCTACGGTGATCAATCAAAATTCATCACTAGCAAGCTGGCAAAACTTCCTTCGAAGGAGAAGCAGGATGCGTTCCTAATTGATTGGTTCAAGCCATATTATTCACGTCTCCCGTATTATGACGAGAACTCTCCGGACTGTCAACCGATAGGCTGCTACGCAACCGAGTGGCTCAACGACGACCTTGCAGGTAATGGCAGTTACAGCAATTTTCAGGTAGGTCTCGAAGAAGGCGACATGGATATCAAAACCATGAGAGAAGGCCTTCCAAACCGAGGTCTCTGGCTGGCAGGTGAACACACCTCACCTTTCGTAGCCCTGGGGACAGCCACTGGTGCATATTGGAGTGGCGAATCAGTTGGGAAGAGGATCGCCCAGGCTTATTCTAGAGGAAAAGGCGGCGTTATGGTTTTCAACTAATCCAATAGGGGACTTCATGCCACGAGAAGAGGTAGAGCAACTGTAGAGCGATATTGATTATCAGGATTAGCGTTGAGAGGTACACAAATCACCACTGGATTTAACTTGGTGGATTTGGCCTTTATGGGGAGCATATAGATGCGTTGCCTAAGCAAATAGGAGCGTATTGATAGAGGGCCTGACAAATAGTGTTACTAGCAATATTATGCCACTTAACAGGTTTTGAGGATATTCTGTTCGTCACTTTTATCTGTCGGAGAATATGTAACTCCTAAAAACGATTAAGTAGTAGTAATGATGCTAAATGGCGCGTAAACGATATGTTACCTAGAGGTAGGTGCCTAAATCCGAGTTGGCCATGAGCTTGTATCATAGCGAGAGCGTTATGTTTTCTACCTGGCTCTATCACACGAAGTATCTTAGTATGCTAATGAACGTACTGTTGTATCTACCTAGAAAGTATAGTAGATATACAAGAGGGAAGCTTGTATGGTAGCTTAATATTCCATCTACGTCGATGCAGAAATAGATAGTTACCGTGAACACTCTCTCTTAAGGCACTCAGACATAGAAACAAGTTCTTATTCCAAATCTTCATCTTTAGAACCGGTCGTCGCTTCATCTTCCCACGCCAGCCGGCCACGTGGAAAACTACTTGTCCCGATATACTCGAGCTTTGGCTCCCCCTTAATGATCTTGCTGAATTGGTCAGTTAGATATCGTTCGGGGAGCCATGGGAAAAGCCACCGGGAGAATAGTTTAGTCAATGGAGTATCCCAGGTTAGAGCTCTTGTGGCAAAGAGAGATAAATCCATGATCGTTTTCATTCGTGCGTGGCGCTTAGTCTGGTAGGATTCGAATACGCGTTCCAGCGTACTTAGGGATAGACTTGACTCATTGTGAGATGCAATCTCCTTCTTTAGCTGGCTGCATAGAGTTGCTATGGACCCTATTGATGAATTGCCGCCAAAACCCATGTGGAAAGTAAACTGTTCCTGTAAGCAACGAAGAATGTAGGCAAAAGATACTAGATTATTCGACATACCTTGTGAGCAGCATCTCCAGCAAGGACAATCCGACCACAATGCCATTTATCTAGCACACCCTCCTCAACATTCACAAGAGAGGCTCGCTCGCGCTTACGCCACAACTCTCCGAATAGCAGCGACTCGCAAACAGGATAGGAGGCCACCGACTCGGCCAGCTGCTCGGCATCTTGAGCGGTATAGAACACTCTCCTTGGCCACGTAACCGTTTCTTCGAGACGGAAGGTTACGAACGTAAATACGTGGTCTGGTTGTGACATGACCGTAAAGGCAAAGTGCGTATTGTATATGAAATTAGTATCAAACCCAATCTCTGGCATGGCAGGCCCGGTTATTACGAGAGCCTTCCGATTTGCCTACATACCTGGGTGCGTACTCAGCTATTAGTCTCCTGGGAGGTATGTAATAATACCACCGACGACGATGACTCTAAATGGGCGAGTGGTCGAATCTTGCGAATCCATATCTGAGGTTGATAGGAACCCAGGGAATATATTTAGGAGTTATAAGATAGCGTTTTTAACTACTTTGATTATCAGGCTCTAGTATATAAAGCAATCTTTTGGGGGGTCTCTTGTATGTATGTAGTTTACTAGTCACATAGGTGAGACCCTTGAAGAAGTTATATAGGTAGCCATGCATATTCTCGGTTGATACCTTGGGTTCTTTAGCGGCTTTATGAGGTTTACGGCTTCCAGTCTAATATCCCCTGTATGCAGCCCTCGGTGTTTGGCTGAGCTTAGGTATAATAACAACGAGGTTCACAAGCCTGTAGGACGAGACGCCTCAGCCACCAGGTCGGCCAGTGTCTCGGGATAGTTTAAGTATGCCGCATGCGCACAATCTAATACTACTTTCTTAATAGTAATCCGAGCCTCCTTCGTATTTGCGAAGCACAAGTCTTGAAGGATAGGAGGCACGCGACGATCCTGCGTAGTGAATACATATGTGCTCGGAATATCTTTCCACGCTTCGTACACCGTCTTCCCTTTAATGGCGTCCAAGTTGTGATGCGTAGATAGTCGTTTCTGCTCCTCCTGGTCCTCAAGACTCACGTCGTGACATAAAGCCTGAACAGGATCATTAAGAAACCAAGTGCCGTCTTTTTCGAAAGTAATTTCTGGTATGCTCTCCAGTGAGACACCCAGGTCCTCGATGAGGGTCCAAATACTCTGGCCCTTGGCTAGAAGGTAAGCCGATAGGTAGAACAGATAGACAACGCCACCGGAGACGCCTTTGGCTTCGCGATCCTTGCGAGAGAGGCCCTCGACAGCATTCGTTCCCACAACACCTCCGTATGAATGCATGAACAGAATAACCTCTTTGCCGTCATTAACAAGAGGCTCGACTATTTCGCGTACAGCCGCCACATCAGCATCGTGTGACGAATTGGGCGGTCGAGCACCATTGTTTGATGGCAAAGCTGGTACATGGACAGTAAAGGATTTTGCTTGGAGTGCATCAACCAGTTTTCGATATGCGGCGGGTTGCGTCCATGCGCCGGGTACTAGTACAATGGTGGGCTGTGGCGGGGACATAATCAAGTCTTATATATTTAGGTAATTAGTACTGCCACAATTTTTTCAACCAATCAAATATTTAGAATCGCCCCGCAATTTGCGACTTTTCCCTTTGCTATGCTATCGCATAACGTCTGCAAAAGGTGTAAAAGGTATAGAAAGGTCATGCAAAACGAGCTCTATCTAACGATACTAATTATTAAAACTTTTACATTGTATTGAAATAGATTAATTGATTTTATACAAAATTTATCGGACGTGCGTTAAGGTGTGGCTAGCCAATCAGAGGCCAGACTTTAGCTATGGCGTTAGTTTTGCGCATAATTGCTTGCCGCCGCCGCCGTCCTCCTCCCTCCTCCCTCCTCCCCTTTCCCCGTCCGCGTTTGAGCGGACGGGCAACGCCGCTAGTATTGATATATTGTTGAAGGTTTGGAATTTTAACAGCGTTAGTATACAAGATGAGATGAGGACTTACAAATCAGAATCATATTTAAACGTGACCGACAAGGGGTTCAAGCAGCTGTCGTATGGCATATCATCGGGCAGTACGGCGGGGTTGACAGTTGTGATTAGTAGGTACATACAAAGCTAGCTAGGTCTATATTTCTAAAGTCTTTCAACATAAACATATAGTTAACCGTTCGCAAAGGCTCTAATTAAATGCCAACTCAATTTAATATAACTATTGACTAAACAGTTGCTTTAGAGCTATGAATTAAAAGTCTGAACTTGGTAATATAATAGGTAGACAGGTAGGTATTCCTGGTAGAATTCATATTTTGTAAGTGGCTTCATCTTTACGAGTTGCATTCTCAACTTCTCCTCTAAGAACTAACGTTTATATTTGTAGGTAACTATAACTAACTATAACTCTGATACCTCCTGTTGGTCTATACTTGTTTCTTGCGCACATGGGTTTCCAATCTCAAATCCCAAGTCGATATCGTGTTGCTCGTAAAGCTGCTTCAATATGCGCAGCGCCTTGTGGCATGTCCCCGCTACACTAGGGTCGCCGCTCAGTTTCCGTCTCGTGCTTAACCCCTGAGCTTGGACCCCGTCATCATCAGTGTAAGTCAATTCCACCCGATCCTCATCGTCATCTCCTAGACCAAGCGATCGTTCAACGTACTTAAGTGGCATTGGTGCGCAATGTGGCGGCTGCGCATAATTCTCAAAGCGAATAGGTACGTTTTGCGTGCTGTATAGACAAGTTCCGGTAGCGCTGTCACACGACTCCCTCTCGCCAAGCTCGAACCAGTGGAACAGATCGGCATCTGGCGTGAAGTACGTTCCATTACCGCTGTTGCTTCTTAATCCCCACCTACAGACACAAAGTCAGTACCTAATCAACAAGTAGAAACGAGATTGTGTGGTGAAAGAACATACCAGCCGAAACTGAAGAAGCCCTTCTCTGTCATATAGCTGAAATAGTCGGCTGGGCATATCGTATGATCAGCCCAAGCCCCATTATGCGAAGTCTCGACAACAGATGTGGCATGGAATAACACAGGTTGCAAAAACGGCGCTGCTCGGACCGCGGCGACAACGGTGAAGAGAACGAGTAATAGTTTTTGGTAACCCATGTTTTTTTTTTTTTCACCTTATTGTGTAGTCGTCGTAGATACCAAGCTACGATAAATGTTAGGGCGATAATATACACTTGACCTTGCCCATGAGTTTTCTGCGTAGTGTAAATTAAGGCGATATTGAAGGAAACTTAAACTACCATGGTAAGTTATCTCAGGGGTCTACATATTAAACGTGGATTTCTTTCGGATACCCACATCCAGTCTTGGCTTTTAAGCCACCCTTGGAGTAGACGATACCTAGTCTATATTTGAACAATACGTCTCAATTGAGTCGAGGGGTAAAATGTTTTATGGTAACGGCTCGTTTCTTCCTCCTAACCCTTCCTTTATCAGTTTCAGTAAGACTACCTAACCAGTGCCTATTAAGGGAGCTGCTACGTATTAGCAACTAGTAATAGCAATGCCCCTTTTGGGAAGCTTCCAACTCAGTAAGCTGGGGATCGGATCCCCCGGTAAGCCTTAGGTAGTCTTGGCTTGGCTTTTAACTAAGACGGAGGAGCAATGTGAAAATATAAAATGCGAAACAATACGCGCTATTCTCAGCAATCAAGTCCGCCTAGGACATATCAAAAGCCGCGTACCAGTCAGCAAATGCAGCACATACCGCTCCAGCAAGCGGATGTGGAGGTCCTTATTTTTCGCCGGAGTGAAATTACCGAGTCCGGTTCGGATGTAGATCTCGGATGATACCTATCATTAACAATAGTAGTAACAATGAAGGTACTCCTACGCCGCGATTCGATCACTCATGCTATCGCATTTAGAGAGTTTAGCCCTGATGACGTCACTATCCCCGAGCTGGTTGTTCTGTGTTGCACAACCCTCACTATATAATTTAACGCAATATATTCTCATTAGATTAGAGGGGCGATGTTAGGAAGGCATATCGTATGTATTATCTCAGAGTTCCGCAAGATTCTCAAGTCAACGTAGAAGGAAACTCTTGGCGTACTTAAGGTATCCTATAATTTCTAGTAACTAGCGGCGTTGCCCGTCCGCTCAAACGCGGACGGGGGAAAGGGGGAAGAGGAGGAGGAGGGGGGGGGGTTCAAAACTGACGCCACAGCTGAAGTCTGGCCTCTAATTGGCTAGCTACACCTTAGCGTACGTCCGATAAATTTTTTATAAAATTAATTAAATTATTTTAATATTATATAAAAGGTTTAATAATTAATATTATTAGATAGAGCTTATTTTGCATGATTTTCCTATACTTTTTGCACCTTTTGCAAACGTTATACGATAGAATGGCAAAAGGAAAAGTCGCAAATTGCGAGGCGATTCTAAATATCTGATTAATTGAAAAAATTGTGGCAGTACTAATTAAATATATAAGACTTGATATATAGCGAGTATTTGGTTTATTATAGAAACTAACCAAGCGGCTTCGCGGTTTATTATGCGATTCTCTTATACATTATACTTACCTACGTAGATATATTATAGTGTTATACTTTACTCTAAAGTCGAAACCGAAAACGAATTCACAGAGCGATAGACCTATAGGTGAGAGTCGAAGACATTGGACTTATAGGTAAACCCGAATGGCTCAACCGTAACGACATTTATTATAATTTCAACAATACTCCCCCAATTATATTGAGTAATTTTTAGAAGCCATATCTACTTAAACGAGGGTTTACCGTTGAATCCGACCGCAAGGAACTCTAAACTATGGAAGCCTGCGGCTATACATTACGTAGGCACTGAAAATGTCCTTTGTTCCAGATGTCTCGTCTAAATTCCTAATGATCGCGTAACTACCTAACCTATACAAGTCTTCGCCCCTCTACGAGATTATAACCTTGCAAAATTCAACGAAGCTCGTCCATTTACTCGGTACAGGGATATTAAACATAGACCCAGATCCCTTAACTACCTGGCTACTTACACAATGGCAGAAAAGCCAGATAATGGTCCTTTGCTAGCCGTAGCTGTTGCCATGGGCACTTTGGCCTCGTTGTGGGTTGGTCTGCGGATATCGGCTCGACGTATGCAGGGGATGTCTCCGTTACTGTCTGAAGATATTCTTTGTTATCTCGCTCTGGTTTGTCTTCTACGTCAAACGTTATACTTACCAATGCCCTAATTGTATGTGTATATGGTAGTTGACATACTATAGTTTGTGTGTCGATTGTGTTCTTTGTTGGTTCTTCCCTCGCCCTATACCTATTTTCTATATACTCTCGCTAATGTATGTTGAAGTGGGTTTTCTAGGCGGCGCCGGGCAACACGTCACGCAATTAGAGCCCAAACAACTCGGCCGATTCTCTAGGTTTATATTTACAGCTCACGTTATGTATGCCGTATGCCTGGGGCTCATAAAATTAAGCATTGCGAGGTGTCTCCAACGTGTCTTTTTCATGCGCACTTTTCACATAGCTGCGTATGTTATCATGGGGCTTTCGGTCGCTTGGGCATTGCTGGTCATATTACTCGCCGTGGTACTATGCCAACCCGTTGGTGCTAACTGGGACCCATCCGTACATAAGACGTGCGGTAACCAGAATATGGCCTACGTCTCGGCCGCCGTCATCGACATAGCGACGGATCTTATGCTCATAGCGCTTCCGTTAAAGCCGTTAATAGCACTACGAATTAAGACCTTACATAAGGCTGCCTTGTCGCTTATATTCTGTGCCGGATTCATGTAAGTGACTGTCTTGCTATAACTCTGTCTTCGTCCAGCTCAATGTTTCCTCTTTGGTCATACCAAGGTACCATTCTGATATGGATAAACAGCACTATAGTAGCTTCTGCTATTAGACTTTACTGTACATATGAAACTGATTATAGCGATCTGACTTATTATACCGTTTGTAATAACTACATAAGTATCATCCAGCCGGGAATCGCCATCATGGTAGCTTGTAGTCCCCTTCTCAAACCCATCGCAGACCGAGCACTCGGCTCACGGCCCTGTGCCCGGTACGACGGTTCGGGTGGAACCTTGTCTCGGAATCTTGGTATAAAGTTACGGGCGTTGGTTAAGAGCGATAAAAGGGGGACAGTTGACTCTTCGCGTTCAATATCGGTTACATTGGAGCAGCCCTCGGATGTCGAGCACGGCGCTCGCAGCGGGCTTTGGAACACAGGCACATACCAAGCCACGGTCCAAGCACAAGAAAATTCTTATTCGGACGGAGATGTTAGCGGCGGAGCGGCCTGTGATAATGGGCGGATTACAGTTACACGGCAGGCAATTGTAACGAGTAGTCGATAGCTAGTAGCCAGAGGTGCCAGTAATAGCACATGCGAGATACGACATAAGCGAAGAGCGCCTCATCAAGTATGGGTGATAGCAGGTATTTGAACAATGTACTAAGATCAATCGTAATCGTTACGGCTGTTTCTAGGTCGTCGCCTGTGTTATCATAGAAAAGGCTTTATATATGTAAGAACGAAAGGCTGCAAGTCCGATTACGAGTCGGATATGCCATCATATATTTAGTATAAGCACGAACTGATTATGCATATTTCTATTTCCTCTACTCTCCTATCCCTCCCATTCTATCTCTTTACTACATCTCCTCGAGTAACAGACAAGAATTGATCCATAGCCATCCCCAGCAACGTCTTCCGCGTCATATGCAAGATAGCTTGTGGCCAATGGGGGTATACAATAGCGTCCCTACCGCTAGAAGCCGCATGTAGTAACACTGTCTCGGCTAGTGCCCGCGGTGTAGAACGGTGGAATACCGATTTCTCCTTATAGCCGACGGCTACGTCGTCTATATGACATGAGACAACGTTAACCCTGTCTGGAGAGAGGTACTCAGACCCCCTGTGCGAATAACACGACTGTGTCCCATTGTCGCCACCAGCCATTGAAGAAGTGACGTTGATAACAAGTGCAGGCGCATTCCGCTTCAGAAGCGACATCAACACAGCCTTTAACTGCGGCAAGACCATGCCATCAGTACCACCAATATAATCAATGAGCATAGTCAAATTCGCGCCCTCCAGCGACTCCCCCACCCTCGCCGCGAACCCTTCCACCGCATCGCCCTGCACGTCCGTATCCACAACCACAACGCGATATTTATTCCCCGGGTACGCCTGCAGAAGCCCCGCCCGCAAAGCCAGCAGTTTCTGCGCCGTGACGTTCCCGCCGGGGTACCCAGACCCGGTGCCGTACAGCACAATGTTGAACCCGCACGCAGCCAGCCTGAAGCACATTTCCCGAGCGAGGGGTTCCTGCCCGGCGCCCGCGACGAACGCCCACGCTGGCTTCCCCCTCGCGGAGTGTAGGAACCGCGTCAGCGGCGCGTCGTTGGCTATCTGGAGCCGCGCGCGCGGCCAGATCACGGCAAGGGTCTCGCAGGCCGCGCAGAGGGCGGCGCCGGGGCCGAATAGAGAGAATAGGGAGGTTATGATGCCCATTTTAGGGAGTAGAGGGATGTAAGGGGGTATGTATAGTGATGATGAAGTATCTGGCCGTCTTATGGGTGAGGTAGGTTAGTTTTCTCTTGGAGGTAAGAGGGAATGGGGGAAGGCGGAATTTATTCGAGAAGAATCACCACAGCTACTCGACCATTTTTTAAGCGCGCCGTAATGTCTCGAGTCCTGGGCATCCTAAGAAACTATCGTAGTATAGCGTCGAGTCACTTGTGAGTTCTCAGAATGTGAGCTTAATCGCCAAGTCACCCTATGAAGAATACAGACAACATCCCATAGTACGAAGTATGCGGTAATGTGAACAAAAGGAATATAGTATTCATTAAGGATCGAATAATAGTAGGTCATAATCATTATAAGTCATAAGCACATCACATCGTGTCTGTCGTAATAATACATCCGTTCCCCCCATTGGGTATCATCAACTCCGACTAAACAAGATTGGCACATCCATGCTCCTGTGGTCTTGAATGGTGTACAAGGTGCCACTCACACTAGGGGTGCTCTTCCCAAACAACCCCTCTCGAAACCTCGAGCTGCTGAGGAAGCTTCCAGCGCCGAAACTCTCCTTTTTAGGGCCGGCAACACCCCTCTTGCCGAAGCCGCTATTGCCGGAAGAAAACTCGCGACCCAGCCGACTAAGCACAAGCTCCTTGGCCCTCTTCAAGGCGCTCGTCTGGAGCTCGGCATCCTCAGCTACGCGCCTCTGCGCTTCTTCCGCTTCAATATCGCGTTGCACGGCCGTGATCTCGGAGCATAGCTCCGCAGTGGGGTCGTAAACGTGAGGTTCTAATAGTATAGGCATGCTAGGTGCCGTGCTAAGAATAGGTGCCGATATGTCCATCGGCGTAGTAGTAGGTGTACTAGGGCGGAAATACTCATCGACGACCGAGTCCGAGTCATCAATTGGTGAGTGCGTGAGCTCCGGCTCGGATCCCGAGTTAGTGAGCTGCGATACTTCACCAAAGAGACGGCGCGATGAAGTTGAGTATATACTCTCAACCTCGCCAAACAGGCGATGTTGAGAGCTTTGTGGCGAGATAGATGAGTGTGGCGGTTGGTGAGGATAGTCAAGGAACTCATCCGAGGGCCGACGACTTTGATCAAAACCAAGAATTTCTGGCTGCCTTTCAAAAGATTCTTGGGGTTTCTGATGTCGGTGGCGGCGATGACGGCGATGTTCATCACTGGGTTGATCAATGGAATCTTTGGAAGGTTGTCGGTGATGATGCCGTGAATGAAGCTCGTGTTTATCGTCATCACGAGATTCGTTCTTATCCTTCCTTCTACGACGACGCTTTGTAACTTTACGTTTCTTGAGCTTGTTTGGAGACGAAAGACTAGCTTGCCTGGCAGCCTCTAGGTCCGAAGGAAGATCAAATTCATCATTTTGCTCTGCTGATTCATCCTCCTCTTCGTCCTCGCCGCCATTCAGATCAACGTCTAGAAGCTTTTGCGACGCTGCCGAAACAGCTGGCGAGTCCCCGGATAGATCGTCTATAAAATTGTCTGATAGCTCCGGTGAGGGAGGGCCCGCATTCTCAGTAATAGTAGCCATTGACTGTCGAGTCCAACGGCTACTACGGGATGGTTTGTTCAATAAAGGTGCCAGTGCATCATCCCAGCTGCCGTCATTAATTAGAACAACGTTTTCAAAGTCGAACTCGCGTACGCTATGTCGATGCGCTGCAATCAATTCCGCTACCTGTGACGAGTTCATAGTGGCATTCCGAATAGCCATAAAACGTAATTTACGGAATACAATGGGCTTCCTAGAGGGCGCTGGGGGTAAAGGTGACATGGGCGAAGTAACTTCATTGAAAAGTTTCTGTGAGCCCCGAGGCGGCGCAAACAAGGGGTCAGCCGCAAGTGACAATGGGCATGGACCCTTTCGGCCCAGCCAATTAAATGTCAATTTTTCTAGACTCGTTGAAAAGTCGCGTATATAATCGTCAATCATCTTTAGATGATCGAGTCCGGGTGACGGTCCATAGAAATCCCATGCCTCTACAGAGATATTTAACTTCTGAATCTGCTTCCACCGCCGAGCAGCTGACGGTAGACAACCAAACCCTATAACGTGTCGCAAGTAGATAAAGGCAGAGGGATGGACGGAGGATAGCGAAAGTTTTGTAAGCTTTCTCATCGGCGCCCGCTCCAATGATATACGGAGGCTAATAAGCGCGTAGTCCACAATATCCCTCCGGTATCTCTCCTTGGGATCCTGGCCAGGCGTCTTGATGGTAAGGTGCCTCATATTCGGCAAGTGCTTCATCGCATTGATGAAAGACGGGACATTAGATGCGGCGTGGAACAGTGGTGGATACTGTTGTGTAAGAATCTCACCAAGTCCAGAGTTGGCGAACTTGGGTCTTTCCAGAACAGACGCCATCGAGGTATGGGGCTTATAGAGGAAGCTGATCTCACGACCAGTATCAGGGTGAACCAGTGGAGGCAAGAAAGTAGCCTCTGAGTGTGGGAAGTAAAAGGTAAGATGTTCTATATGCTGGCCTACCCTCGACAGTGCTTCGATTCTGCTCTGTCGAGTGAAGGTACTAGAGGTGAAGGTCAAGTGGGTTCGTAGAAATAGTCGTTTGGTAACGAGGTTGCAGCATGCTGACGATGAGAGTCGAACATTGCAGATATCTTCTTTTGATAATAATTGGAAGAGCTTCTCACGGATAGCCTCCTTCTGCCACAGGCAATAGAATGCTTGCGGTCCTGTTGCCATAGCTCTCGCATGTCGCTAAGGCAAGTATTATTGAGGGTGAATGGTTAGTTCGAGGAGTCCTAACAGCGGACTATAGTCACGAAGACGATTTGGACACTTCAAAAGTTATACAACTGAAGTCAGATCAGAAGTATATAGGGGAGTGGTTAACAAGGATGACGATATTGAATAATAATAATAGATGGACTAAATATATGATAGTAGAGCCACACTGCGAGCACAAGACGGGTAAAGTGAAGCTATCCGCAGTTGTAGCAACAGTATTAACTGAATTAGATATAATCCAGTCACTTACAGTTGACACTTGATATTCTAAAATAGAAGAAAGTCGGCCGTAGCCCAACCAGGTCCGCGAAGGCCTGAGGCGCATGTTATACCAGTTCGACATATTCCCCCCGGTTAAGAAAACTTTTCGTGCTACCTCTCGACCTCAGACTTCATCAGCATGGTCTCTCCAAATCTAAGCAAGATAGTCCAAGAACATCAGAAAAGTCAGACAGGTCGGGAATGGTTGGCAGGTGAGTCATTCTCACGACTTTTAGTGCATCTGCAAATCTGCACGTCGCCATGCAGCCGGGGAGCGCAGAGAAGTCGGGAACAGAGCAAATGACAGACGCGACAGTTATAGTAAAGCGCGATGCAAGAAATGACTGGTCCGTCGAGAAGTGACCTGCATGGTGCTAGATGCAATACAGCATGCAACCGTCTCACTATCCAAACATTTCATCCAGTGAGAGAGATTGAAACATTGTGGGGAAAGAAAGAAGCGCCGGGTTGTGGGTCTTTAATGTCTTTGATAAACGAAACGGATGCTACAAGAACCCGATAACTTCCTTATAGCCAATAAAAACTTGCTATTCGAAAAATCAGTGGCTGGTGGATCACTGTTACCTCCCTCTGCTCTCTGTAGCTTCGCTGTAACCTCCCTGGACGCAGCGCGCTTGGCTTCTACTGCACGCACGAATCGAACACGAAATAGACGCGATTCCCGTACACGTGGATTCCATACATAAAAGCTTCTAAGCGCTCCCGACAACAAACCGGCACTAATTACTGAGGTTTCCATTTTACGACGGGCTATGAGAGTCCCGAGGTTTTTCAACGATCAACGATATTGTAGCCAATTATCAGTGAAGAATGTTAGACTATAACTTGGAGTCTTATAGAAGGAAGGACAGCAACTTGAGGTGGGAGAGGTGATAGTGATATAGAAACGGCAACTGACTGAACGCGGCTTTCGATACGACGGGCCCGTGGCACGAGGTCGCGTCGGCCGCTCTCCAAACCTAAGAACTGCGGCCGCCACCAAGACTTCAAGGATGATCGCGTTAAATATCAATTCCCGGCCGATCTGTTTCGAAACATCTCAACCGGGATTTATTCCAGAACACATGAACCCCAACTACCCCTGCCTTAACCTATGTCTGCATGAAGCACTTTGGGGATTGGTACAAGAGGCTGATTGATCTTGGCGAATCAATTTTGTTGCCGACGTCGCCATTTTGATTCACTCCTATAAGGGCAAGTATATCGGCGTATACTTTATCTTGCTTGGATAGGCTGCTCACGTAATTTATTAATATGACACTTGATGAAGTAGAAATAAGTTGTATCCCACTGAATAAACCTACAGCAGGCTCAGTGTAAACAGTTGATGGTAGTACCGAATTCACATACGTCGGGGTAAGAACCTATGTATGTGTTACTTGAAGAATGCACGAGTACCTACGTATAATTAGTTTAGTGGTTTAGGTTAACTACATGTAAGATAGGTACTATCGAAGCTGGTTCCCCTAGAGAGTATATTCTTAGATCATCGATGTTAGTTAAGCCGAACGAAGTCAAACTTCTAACTCTTATGATCCTACTGTCCTATTCTTCTGAGGTTAACTTCGGTATTAACATATACCTAAGCTTAAGACTATAGTGACGATATTCCTCACATTCGAATTTATCCCACCATTAGGTATTATGAATAGCACCTTACTCATGAGCTGATATGCCTCCTCTTGGGTGGCTTGGTTGACTAGCTGAGTTTCTTTATAAGTGAAAAGGGGAGCTTGACTTACGCGCTCTTGCTAGGATGCCTTATTCAATACCTGACAGCAGCTCTTTATCGGTTCATCTCAGCACCTTCGATTTATCAATACACAATTAATGTATGCATTCACTATACCCTCCTTTCTTATATACGTAAGACCTTGTTCCCTTAATATATATTGTCTATGGTATACCTTTATCTTCCCCATTCATACCCTACCACTTAGTCTAGAGTGGTAGGTATAATCCATCCACTGAATACGTTAAAGGGGTTATCTGTCTCTTGCAGCGAAAAAAAAAAAAATGATCTGCTCATTTCTTCTAATAAGCATTTCGTACTTACTATCGACGTTTTTACAATAAATTCGGACTTCAATATCTTATAGCTTCCCATTATCTCAATCTTTTACATAGAGCAGTCACTTCCTTTAACCCCTACTTCAAACCTAAGATCTTTTTGATCTAGTCTTGTTTGCCTTATAAGAGCTTACCCCGTAATTGTACCCCTTGAAAATAAACCCATGGCATTTCTCGAAAGAGTCATACCTTAGAAGAACTACTAAACTCTAGCTCACCACGTTAGCTACGACGTGGCTGACCAACTCAGAGGTGAGTCATGCTTCGCTGGTCTCTGCGGAACTTTCTGCTAGGGTCCTAGAATCGCAGGGCTGCTTAGAGATCACTTTACAAAGATATAGACTCCCTCGGTAGTATGTTTACCTCAGGGGTTCGATTTAGATGGAAATTAAGGCACCTGGTGGGAGTATTATGAAGAATATTGCAGTCAAGCTTGGGGCTAGACATGGTAAGTTTCACTATTTTCTTGATCTTATAGGAATTCATAGAACTAAAGTCACTAAGCCAGCAATGCTACTGTGTAAATGCAAGATCCGAATTGACTGTCATGTAGCAGTGCTATGGTAATCCATTATACGCCTGTCCCCTCAACCCAGAATTGCTTCCTTGTCACGATAATCCATTTAAGCAGACTCAGTGAACGCCTCAGGGAAACGCTTGATGTTCTGCTCAAGGCTACCGTGGTTGGTGAGGAACTGAACGTAGGCACCGTCAACCTTGACACGGCCAGCAGCCTTCTTCTCGAGGTACTCCTCACGTCGGAGAGGAGTGAAACCCCAGTTCTTGGAGATGATGATCTTTTGTCGGCCAGGGAACTTGTACTGGGATCGTCGGAGAGCCTCAAGAGCGACGGCACGGTCTACAGAAAAAGGGTTAATTAACGCATTCTTGTACATGAGACATACGTCATTGCACTTACTAGAATCACGAGTTCGGACACTCAGGATGATCTGACCAATGTTGACACGGGCAACAGTACCGTTGGGCTTACCCCAGGCACCACGCATACCAGTCTGCAGTCTATCGGCACCAGCGCAAGACAACATCTTGTTGATACGGACGACGTGGTAGGGGTGAGCGCGGACACGCATGTGGAAACCTTCCTTTCCGGCAGTCTTGACGAGGTACTTGTTGGCGCAAATACGGGCAGCTTCAAGAGCTTCGGAGCTCAGCTGCTCGTACTCGTTGGAGACGAGGTGGATGCAGAGAGGGAAGTCATCGACGGTCGCACGCTTTCGGCCAAGATCGAAGATACGGATCTTAGGGTCGGGGACACCACGGTTGAAGCGGGACTTGGGATACGGCTAAGAATTATTGACGTCAGTATATTTATGTCTACGTTTGATCCATGTCTAATAAATCGCTCGGGTGTTTCGTGAGAAATAATGTAGTTCATGGTAGAATTTGTAATCGGGACAGGTGAGGGAATCGCAAGTCATTTTGCGATCAACCGGATAAATTTTGAAAATGAGATTTTTTGTGCAAAATTATAATAACTATAAAAGTCTTATAAGGCTCACCTTGTTCTTGCAGTATCGGTAACATCTTGCCGGACGACGCGCCATCTTGAATGATTTTCTCGATCAAGTTATCGTAAGATGAGGGTATGTTGTTGTAGAGAGGAAGATGATGCCGACAAGGAAGCAGAGGGGACTGGGGCTCCTTTGAGGTCTGCGGTGAAATTCCTACTTTGATTTCAAAGCAAGAGCGAGTCACATAATCGGGCGAGGTGGGTTGGTAGCGGGGTATCTTATTGGTCCGTTGATTATCAATTCGCCTGAGGAAAAGTGGGGTTAGGGCTAAAACCACGGACCACCAGAATATTCGCTATCAGCCTCTAACCATGTAACCATGTAACCCCACCAGAACTTTCCGCAAAGATAATTATTTTCTTCATTCCTGACCACAACATCAACTCGACACCGTCAACGAACAGTCAATTCGTATCCAACAGTCAAGATGGCCCCCAAGAAGAACAAGAAGGATGCGAACAGCATCAACTCGCGTCTTGCGCTTGTGATGAAGTCCGGAAAGGGTACGATCTCCCTACTTATATGAAAATAAATAAAATATGCCGTCTTTACTGACATATCATCTAGTCACTCTCGGTTACAAGTCTACCCTGAAGAGCCTGCGATCCGGCAAGGCCAAGCTAGTCATCATCTCCGGAAATACTCCTCCTCTACGCAAGTCCGAGCTGGAATACTACTCCATGTTGTCCAAGGCCCCGGTTCACCACTTCTCCGGCACCAACGTAAGTTCCTACATCTCTTTAAACCAAGTATAAAAGACATATCGATGCTTTTATACTCTCCTCTTTCTCTTATCTCTATGGTCAGTAGACGGGTTTATCTTGTCTATGACCCTACCCAGAGAAGAAGCCCTTTTGGCTTTGGAGGGTAATTCAGTTGGCTTACTTTTTGGTTAAATACAGATTGAGCTGGGTACTGCCTGCGGTAAACTGTTCCGTTGCTCTACCATGGCCATCATTGATGCTGGTGACTCCGATATCCTTAGCGACCAACAGGCTTAGGTCTAGATACGGCATCCTCTGACGGCGTTGGGGTTCATTGGTTGGGAAAAGGTTATCGTGGTTGGCCGTTCATGAATGATGACGGCTGGTATAATTCCACATTAGGAAGCACATTTGCGAGGCTCCACCTCGAGTTCTCTAGGTAGCCGGTTAGACCAATACTAAATGCCAATCCAGACGAAGCTTACGGACTTCGGAAAGAATATAAATGATACCCAACAATCCCTCTTCCTAGTGTTACAGCTGGGAATTGAATGCTCTACGTGATAATCAGTTACAACTCGAGCTATGTTTGGCTAAGACATAATATTTCTTTGAGTCTAGCCCCAGCATCTGGACAAGGCGGCCTCCAACAATATGAATAGTATATAGAGATAAAACCTTGTACACTGAGTCTTTGCGCATAATCCCGTAGGGCCGTGGGGACAACCGGATATAAAATCACCATGCCCAAATTTGAATTCACCAACCTAGTTGACATAGTTAAGGTTTACCTATATCTAGAATTACTTCGTATTGCGCTTTCGAGAATTCCCAGTATATACTTACATAATTACATACAGGTAACAGCGGTGACATATTTGGAGGATAATATTAATAAATACCCAACAATGAAGACTGTTTAAGTTCGCCTGACGTGTGAACGAAGCTAGATTTCTTTATCACTTATGATATAAGCTGAACCGTCATTAGTCTAATTCGACCACCAAGAACAAAGACGAGTTAATAATGAAAACCTCAAACAGCAATTGTCGGGACATATGTCATAAGTAGTAAGTGCAATTATGAAGATTAGGTACTTCATTAGTCTCCTATTATTGGGACGCGGCCTTTTGATATAAAACATGTTCCACAAGGATCCAAGCATCTACACCGTCACCCGTCACCGAGCGCTAAGGTATCGGGAGAACCAGGTATGTACCTAGGTATTGTACCAGAGTACCTACGAAACCGCATAAACGCTAATTAAACTTTACAAGCGGAAAGGGGGGTAAAAGGGAAAGAGGACCCAAAAGGAGTTGGACTTATGAACATTTAAAAAGCACTTCTACAAATATTTTTCGAAGTTGACGTTGCTACTTAATACATACTATACCGTCACTACATATGACAAACTACAAATCATTTCCTTACTTATTTAAATATATACGAAGTACTAATGTACATGCTATTTTTACTTTAAATCAGAAACAGAAGAGCTAAGCTAGGATTCGTGATTCCCTGGGAAAAGGTGATCCCGCGTGGCTGAGTCTCTCCTGACTTTGAAGGTCAAAAAGGGTCAGAAAAGGATAAGCCCAGATAGGCTAAGCGCTTTCCATACTCAACGATCTAAACCCGCTCTAGCGCATTGGATCCCCAAGTCCCCTATTTATACGGAGTACAAACGAGAAACGGGGAATTTACCACAGTACATACAAGCAAGCATCTGGACAGTGACTATCAGTGTCACGTTGTCAATGTTCCGTTGCGAATTCTAACCCAAGAAGTCTCCCCCGAAACCCAAAGAGTTGTGCATCCCGCGCCACCAATTCACGAACCACAAACGCATATGAGCCACTCGGACTAAACAACATAAGGTACGGTCCAAAAACCAACCAGAAACACACCTGCGTCGTCTACCGGTCAACGTATTGGTTTCCAGACTTGTCTCATTCCTCGCGATTGACCTAGCAACCAACCAACCATCATTTCCATCATAACCATATCCTCCAACATTACATTGAACTTTACAGTGTATCTATTGCTTAGGCTTTTGAATATATTGACGAGACAAGCCTACCGCAACTCGGCTACCTATAGTAGCATTCCTGTATATACGTTCGCCTTTACCCGCGTATCGCCATTAAACCGGACAAATGACCGCTACACCTAAGAAGCCGTTATCCGCGGCACATGGCCGGGCTTCCTCGACCGAGAACACACCTCCGTCGAGGCAGACCCGAGCGTCTACACCGACTTCTTCTACAAATGGTGCAGGAACCACCAACAGCCCGCAGAGGAGAGGAACTAACCGAGGCGGTACTCCAATGTCAGCGCGAGCCGCTGCTACACATAGGACAACCTCGTCGCTGAGTATCTCTAGCACGGTTGGGGATGCTGAGGCTCGCGCTGAGACGGTTGCTCTAATCGAAGATCTAAAAGAGCGGTTACAGAAGGCAGATATCGCTTCCGAGCAGCACAAGAAACAAGCAGAGGTTTTACAGACAAGACTCGATGATGCCCTGAAAGAGCAGGCCCAACTAGAAGAAAAAGTGCACGAAAGCGAGGAGCAGATCGAGGCGCTTAGAAATGAGAAACGGGAAGCCGCGAGACAGATGCGTGAGATGGAAGCAATCTACGAGGCCGAGCGGAGCTCTATGATGAAAGAGAAAGAAGAGATGGCGAACCGTGAAGAAGAGATGCAAGCTGTGATCAATAGGCTAAAGGAGACGCTCAACCAAAAGAACGCAGAGGACGAAAACCGCCCAACAAGGCAATGTGAGCATCCAGATTGCATGGCCTTTACATGTACAATTGCTAATTTGAGTAACATTACAGCGAGTAATTCGTCTCCTAGCGTAGAGAATGGGAACTTCGCACCACCTTCTTCGATTCAGCGTAGCGATTCCAGGAATAATTCTAAGCTGCTACTTCAGAAGGATAAGTTGATTGAGTCACTACGTCTTGAACTTGCAGAGGCTCAGATTAAGCTTGTTGAGTCTGAGAATCAAGGCGGCGGGCGCGTGCACGAAGTTGAACGCCTGCTTATGGAGGCCCGCATGGCCAACGCACGGCTGATGGAAGATAATGAGTCGTATCAGCTGCTCCTCCAGGAGAAGACACTCCACGGCGAGTTTGGCAAGGGTGATTTTGGGTACATGAACGTTTCCGCCAACCAAGACGCACTCAATGCGCTCGAAGGTCGATCCAACGCCGGCGACAATCCACCGGCTCCAGGGGCTAGTTTGGCTGATGAACTGGGTGCCCTCGGCGGGGATGAGAAAGCTGTTGATGAGGAGACTCTGCGCCGTCTTGAGACTGAACTCCGTGCTGCTAAGGACCAGAACAAGGCCCTTACGTTGTATATTAACAAGATCATCGAGCGGCTCCTGCAGCACCAAGAGTTCGAACACATCCTCGACCAGTCCTCTGACTTCAAGCCAGGTGCCAATCTACACAAAGATCTCCCACCACCCCCAACGGATTCTCAGGGAGCTTCATTCTTATCGCGCGCGAAGGTCATCGCCGCTGGTGGTCCCACACCTCGACCAAAGCCTCGACCCATGACTATGTCCGCGGCGCACCAAGTCCACGCAGTCTCTGCGCACACCAACCCGGAGACGGCTCCTAGCATTCCCATCGGACTCGGACGCTCACAGAGCACAGCGCGGCGCCTCGGAAGGCCCATGAGCGAGCAACTGACGGGGGCAGCCGGCATCGTGAATGCTATGTATAAGGGGCCTGACGGCCCACTATCTCCGACTTTAAGCACGACGTCGTCATCTGCACGACATTCCCAGACGTTTTTCTCACCTGGAGGCCGTTCGCATTCGGGTGCCAATGGTAGCTCGGGTAACTTCCCGGGCATGCGCAGCGAAACCAGCAGTATAAGCGGGGACTCAGCCGCGGACGGGACAACAGCTACCTCGGCCAGCCAGAGCCCGCCTAGGACTATAAGCAGTATAGCTGAGAAAGGCACCACGCTCGCGGGTAACAAGCCGAGACCGTTGAGGCTAGTTCAGGAAAATAACGAGAAGGAGCGCGCGGAGAACAAGCGTGCGAGTTGGATCGGTTGGGCGAGTAGCGCGTGGGGGAAGAAGGATGAACATGAAAGCGTGCGGTAGTGTGGCATGTTGATGAACAGTAATGACGAACTTGGTGTCGATATTGATATTGATATCGAAGTCAAATGGAAACCTCCTAGAAAGGAGGTATGATTAAGAATTGTTATTCAACTACGGAACCTCTGCCTGTCACACCATAGGGTAGATGGTGTGTTATGTACGTAATGCCTCTTTTTTTTTTTTTTTTTCTTTCTTTCGCTACGACGGACAAGCAATCAACTATGTAGGTTGGATGGGCCGCAGATGACGGAACGAACGAACAGATAGTAGCCACGAACGACCAACCCTGCTTACTTACAGTAGTTAAGTTACGATTATGCCCGGGATATATTTATTACCACTGAAGTATTTATTTGTTCATTTGTTTATATTGATGTTCATCATGCTGTCTGGGATGAATAAATTTGAGATAGAGGGGGATGAGAAGCAGATGAGGGAAAGATGAATTAGGTTGATATAGATTGAAGAGAGATGTTTGCTTGGGATCGTGATTTTTTTTTGTCTCTGTGCTAATATGTAAAGCATTTGATAACGCGTGTGCCCATCTTTTAAAAACTATCTACCGCCGAAGTATAATGTCTGTATTGCTATCCTAGATAGGTATGGATATGCTTTAGGTACTTTAGGCATTCGAGGCAATATTAAAAGGAAAAGATCGAATCAAGGTTAAGCTTAATGTTTCGATTTTAACGGCTGATCTATTATCCAAGTCGTGATTCGCGATGGTGATAGTTTAGGTTTTAGGACGAGTGTACTATGATGACCGGGGATTATATTTACCACATCCCGATGAGTATGTCGAGTTGGGAGTGTTGTGTTGAACATGATATATTGTAAGCTACGTATTCTGGGGTTTCTTTTCGCCGATATAAGGTGGTTAGAGATGTAGATAAGCGTAGTACTATTCTGATGGGAGCTATGTCCGGGTTCGTACATCTCTCCTCTATTTGATTAGTACCACTTAATACATGATTAATGAGTACTTCTCGCCTTGCACGAGTGATAATCTGGATTAGCGAGCAGTTTCTGTTGTCTGCCAGATCGATATGTTCAACCCCCCCTTGCGGACTTCCTACTCTGACGGGGGTTCTAATCCGTTGTCCTGTTGGAGTGCTTCCGCGACATTACATAGAAAGACAAGTCTTGATTCAAAAGCGTCGCTCTCCCGAGACACTTTAACCTGTACGCCAGGAGTTGTCCAACCAAGCTGCACGATCTATTGCCGGTATCACGTCGCAAAATCTACCACGTGCCGACCTTATGAATCACTACTATTATCCAGTTTTCCGGTAGACGGCACTGGTAGGCAATCCCAAGGCTACTGTCTGGAATGTATGGGGAAATAGCTCACTTAATTCCCTATTTAAGCCTTTCAATGTTCATAACTCGCTAGTCCAGCTGAGAAACCCCGTGCTGGGTATCATCAAGCGAGAAGTCGGGTCTTGAAGCATGGGGTAAGCAAAGCAGGGGGAATTGGGGAGTACAAGACTGGTCGTTGGTACTAGGAACAAAATAGCTCAACCCCACGCCGTGAATGCCCGGATAACTCGCGTGGTTGATATATAATACGCGTGTGGCTCTTTGGTGGGTTGGTAGCACGGATCTATACCGAAAGTTTGGGAGGAAGTCCGGACTCGTTAAGAGGTCTGTCTTTCAGGCGTAGAAGGTCAT